AGGCCGATGACAGCCTTACTTTCGCCGATACAGTAGATGGGCTAAACCAAGAAATGTCAACCGAAATTCCCAAATGCGTTTTCGTTTCGTAAATATTAATTAAGTTGGGTTATCAAGCTAATACTCGTGCAGCATAATTCTATAATAATTCGGTTACCTCAGGATGCCGGCTTTCGAACTAACTTTTCGGCTGCATGCAAAAACTATATTATGTAAAAAAGACTACATAAGTAGCATACATTTTTCTCATTGATTTCGATGCCCTTAAAGATTCAATTATATTCCATGGAAAACACGCATGAATATATTCATTTTTCTGCTCATTCAAAAGGAAATTACGCCTTAATCCAATTATATACTCGGAGGAATGGCATAATTTGGTTTTAAAAAGTCTTTAATTATGAGATTTTTTTTAATAGCATGAAATGACCGTTCATAAAACGTCATGTCTCTGCATTTACCAATGTTGCTTGTAAAGTTAACAATATGACTCAAATCCACTGCAAATTTTATGAACCCCATATGACCTTCTCTTAATACCGTAGAGAAATGTACGGTTTTTCGTAAGCGAAAAATAGACGGCTTGTATTTTGGAAACCTTGAATGCAAGTGCAACGGCAGGTCGGGTTCAAAATTATTCGAAAATTGGAAACGTTTTGGAAAACCGAAATATACCCTTCCTTCGAGTATAAAATTGGAATAAGACTAATTTCCTACCGAATGAACAAAAGAATGAATATTTTTAGGCGTGTTTTCCAGGAAATATAATTGAATTCTTAAGGGCATCGAAAATCAATGAGAAAAATGCATGCTACTTATGCAGTCATTTTTTCAAAGAAGATAGTTTCTATATGCAGCCGAAAAAGAGTTCCTTCGAAAGCCATCCTTATTATGGAATTGTGCTGCATGATGATTAATTTGACAACCCTACTTAATTAATCTTTACGAAGTGAACACGCATTTGGGAATTTCGGTTGACATTTCACGAGTTAGCCCACCTACTGTAGGTCGCAGACAGACATGGTCCAGACACACGTCCACATTTTTAACCGGGACTTCTTTCATTTAAACATGATGCCCCATTCCCCAACCTAGTGATTGCTGAGAGCAGAAACCTAGGAAGAAAGTGTTAGACCATAAAACGCTCTTCAAGAAAGTGCCCACATTTTCCGCCGCATCAGATTTATACTCAACAGGGGTGATTTGTGGAGGCACAAAATCTACATGCGCGACATTTTGTGAATATGCGGGTGACGACGGAAAATCAATTGCTAAAACGTCCCAGGCTGTCGCTGAGATACGGCTATTTCTGCGGTTGCTCATAAGGCCGGAGTTGTTTAAATGAATATTTAGTGATTCGTTAAAGTAGAAGAGCTGGTAGTAGAATATGACGCCTTTTGTTCAATATTGTTCGCCACATAGTCCCTGTTTCTTTGCAGATATAAGGATTATGCGATCAATTACTGGTCAGGCTGGGATTTTTTCGAGAACGCATCCGAGTTTTCATTGACTGCTGCCCAGAAAACGTAGGAAAGAGTTTTAAGTCCTGCCTATAAACAGTTTGATCCCGCATTGATTACAGCTTAAAGGTGAACTTAGTAAACTCCATCCCATACCCGTAAATATTTGCCTGCACACAGTCGAAAGCCATTAATTCTGATCCCATTATCACAAAAAAATGGGTAGAAGAAACGCTTGGTAAAAAGCATTCAACAATGGCGGAGTCAGCGCTTGTAGCTCGTCGCCGACTACTTTTAACTAGTGCGTCCCGAAAGTCCATTTTCGTGAACAACATCTCGCTCTTATTTCTTGAAAATCGAATGGTTGCGAAAGCCCATCTCGAGTAATCTGTGCTAATGCAGTCTGTGCCAGTCATAAGGCCGCATGCGTTTTGTCTGAAACTTCGAAAAAATTGGCTAGATCGATCGTTTTTTGCATGAAAGTAGAGCATGATAAATTTTAATACAACCAGGATGGAATCAACAATAATTTAATATGCTGTCATGTAAAAAGAATGGTTGAAATATGACTCTCTTTCTATTGTAAATCCACCTCTTGCGTTAGCGTTCCTCCGAGTCTGGACTAGAAGTGTTACATAAAGCAAATGTTAAGGCGTGTCCAGCTTGAGGTGGTTTTCTATATCGACCAGTAAAGTGCCGACAACCTGGTGGGTAACGCTCACAAGTCGGTGTTTCTGAAAATCGAATAAATAAAGCCACTTTTTTGCATTTTAAAAACGTCGAGAGAAGTGTGATTGACGGATATCGAGCGGGGTGAGTTTTCGGCCTTGCGTGAAATCGGCCCTAGCAGTAGGGAGATCGGTCGACGCTTAAGGAGATCGAAAACCGTGGTGAATGGCCACATTGCAGCTCACGAAAAGTGCAGCGGAGGAGTGAAACGTAAGACGGTGAAGTTATATAAACATCTCAAAAAAAGACGAGCAGTATTACATGAAGTATCCGCAAGAAACCATGGCAAACGCACCATTGGACTTTGGTGCTGGCGTTTTCAAAGATTTGGATTCATGGGTCACGAATAATGCATTTTATTTGGCAAATCAGTAGATTTGACGAATACCGCCGTTTGCTAAGTACCACTAGAAACAACGAGTGCGTTAGGCCGGGTGTCTCAACATCCGGAAAACTCAGTGACAGTTTGGTAATCTTCTCGGAAAGAAAGAAATTTAATTTGGAAAATCAAGACGCCTTTTGCCCTGCTTTTGCTCTTCGTGATCCAATACAGAAGTCGAGGTGTAGCATTTCAACAAAACAGCTGCTATTTACGCAGGACTCCGAAGACAAAACGGTGGCCTATAAGTAAACAAGTTGACACGATTATCCTACCTTATCTCATATTCGATCATGCTCCCGTGAAAAATCCATGAGAACTATTATCCAGACGTTTATACCGTAGCAATCTGATTTATCTGCATAGAGGCCAGTTAAAAGCCGCTGCGTCTCAAGCACGGCACGCTCCAAGTGAAGCAACACCCGGAAGATGTATTAAAGACAGGAATTGTCACTTTGTCAAAATTCTGAGGAGAAATGAAAGTCAGAGAGCCCTTTGAATTTAAATGATGGAAACAAAATATGAATGGCCCTATAATTATGGGACAGCAATCTTCTGACCTTTGTTGTTACTCGGATACTGGAACTACTTGTTTTCTAATAAAAGTTCTCATGAGTCAAAAGGCTATCTGGAAAGATAGTATTTATTTTTACTTGAAAAAATATTCTGTCGTCGTCTAAACCCGCGTGAAAAACGGATAAACTTATGTAACTTCCTTCCTGTCTTTGTAATTAAAGATTCAATATGATCTCGGCATATTTTATGCAAAAATTCCCAGTCGTCAGGATATTAGGTCGCCGGAAGTATCATAGTTACCGGCAATTAAAGAGCCAGCTTTCCCAAGGTAAAAATCCAGGTTTGTTCTTACCTGAACCATTTCAGGAGTAAGGGCGCATGTTATGAGTTTTGTCGGAAGAAAAGCTCACTGAGAAAAATAAACAGAACCACAGTGTTTAGAAATGACGGATAATGACACAGGGAGTGTCTTTCTTCGTCCAGTGGAAGTCTTTTCTCTCTATTCAACCCTACAACAGTCTCGTAATTATTCGCTGATGCTCGATCTTTAATTCCCCGTTTGACATAGACGAGCAGCGTCTTTGTGGAGGTGTCACAATTTTCTATACTAAAGGGCCGTATGTTGCTGACGACGACAGTTCGGCCGTCGTTGCCGACGATATCCACCGTGTGCTCCACAGTATGGTGAAGCAGGGACGAAGACTTGTGCGTAAATTATTTTATAGTGACAGCAGAGTCGCACAGCATCTACCGCACTCTCCCCTCCTTTCCCACCTTGACCCAGTGTCAAAACAGAGTCAAGAAGACCGGTGACGGGGAAGGGCGCAGGTGGATAGCACGGTCGAGCCCAAACCTTGGCGTTCCCCTCCACACCCCCTGATCCACACAACAAATAACCGGGCTTTTCTGACCAACAAATAACAATGAGGGATGCGGCAGGGATCCCAGTGTGCGCGACGTCTGCCGACAACCGGATCTGCCACCGCACCCCGAAATGCTGACATTTATTATGGTGTGCAATCCGATAACGCCTGCCAGAATCCGATATGGCCCCCGAATTGGTCCACCGCATCTACCACGTGGCCCGTTTGGGGGGCAATTTTGCTGACCAAAAGGCTTTTCAAAGTCATCTTAAATCCATTATAGGAGTTTTCGAAAAGTCGCAGAAGACCAGCTTTAATCATAGAGTTCAGTCAATGCGTCTAGCTACGGGTCATAGATGACTTGTCACCTGAGAGTGGTCCCTTCAAAGGGACACATATGCGAGAAAACATCAGTAAATGCCATGTCCTCTGTCTCCCCTATTAGGCTGTCCCGAGGTGTGCCGTGAACAGCACCGGCAAAGGGGCGGTGCGATGGTTAGTGCCAGTTGCCTTCTGATCCGTAATGCCGATATGTCGTCGGAAGATTGGTTTCCCTAAAAGATAACATTGGTTAAAAGGAAACTTTACTACGGTCCGAAGCAGAGGTCAGATAAACATGCCTAGTCATTTTGTTGTCAGAATAGCACTGTTGCTTTGCAAAAAACAGGGTGGCTTGAGGGAGGTCTGTTTAACCTCACCAGTGATTGTGTTTTTCACCTGTTAAGCTTGAGTCACCACTAAAGCGGTGAGCGTAAGCATACTGGCAAAAGACAAAGGGGAGATAAAGTTATCTTCCTTGTAGCAAAATCACCAGATCACTAGCGATGTCATTTTCGACTTCGGTTATGCTTAAAAGTTGTACGACATCACAGACGACGCTTAACCAAGACCGCATAAAAATGCCATCGACATTGAGAGAGGGAGAGAGAATGTGGAGAAGCACGAAGGGTTGAGTGTTGGGGGACGAGCAGAGCCCTTCCCGGATGAAAGAACTCGAAATCGGGCGCGATGAAGACTGAGGCTAAGGCATAATCAGGATCCCAGTTTCATGGTTCACTCATTGAGTTCCTGGCACTTTGAGCAGTCAGCCATCGCGGCAACATATTGTTCCATTTGAATAGTCACCTCCTGCACGAAGAAACGCCGGCGAAGTAATTTATTGGCCTGGTTCAAGATATCCTGAGTAAGTGCGAGGTCGGCTAAAAGGTGGCAGCAGAAATGTCAGTTGTTAGGCTTGGTAGCGCTTTCAGAAGTAGAAAAAGTATACAGATAAGTAATATAGGCTGAAAGTGGGTATTCTGTCAAAGGCCCAACAATAATTCGCAAATTTGGAAATCTACAGTCAATTCGCGCATCCATCTCCGGTTGAACAACATCGTTACTGTAACAGAGGGCGCTCACCGATCGTAGTAGGGAACTCACTTATTCCGTTGTGCCTAGGGGCCCTCTCACGAGCCCTACCGGCAGCTGCATGGCGCGCGTAATGCAGGCAGAATAGCATTGTCGATAAAGACAAGGAAGGTTGGAATGTCCATTTCTGGATTATTAGCCGTATTCAGTCAGCAATACCCAGCCCCGAGGCGTGCAACACCCGGAGCTCAGAGGTTAGTGTGATGGACTTCTAACCAGCAAGTCACGGGATCGAGATTCAGGTGTTCCCAAAATCGGGGTTGGGTATGAATAGCTGACAAAGGCCTTAGGCCGGAAATAGCCATTCCTGTCTGCCTTGCCTTCGTCATTACTGTCATCCCAACATCACTACTTAAATAAATATTTAAGGTAAATGTACATTTGAATAGCTAAGGCATCTTCTACGATTGCGCATGAAAGTGATCGCCAAAACTGGATTCACTGGTGACTACAGAACAAAACGGTATTACCGACAAACACAAGGGAGACTGGAATGGCCACTTCTGGCTTATCAGCCGTCGGCAGCCAGTCATACGCAACCCCGAAGTATGGAGCACCTATGGCTCGATCCCGCGACTATAGAACAGTCGATCTGACCCTTGCATCCACCCTCTGACTTTGGCTGTAGGTGTGCACTCAGAAGCAGACTGAGTATTCTAAGATGCGCAGCAATTATCTTGAATTAATATAAAAAAGCTAGCATTAGGTTGAAATATTCTTGAAAATACATGCCTATCTATGCTTAGGGAGTGCGTTTACCGATCACGTTAAGCGACATGCTCGCCGCATTTTGCCCTGGGGCTCAATGCAGAGCCCTCGCTGGCAGTCGCATAGCGACCAGGAACATATACTGAAAGACAAATGGCGACCTGGATGACCATTTCTGACTTAGTAGTAGTAGTTAGTCCGCCCTGTCTAAACTGCTCGGCTGTTCGCCACACCTGATTCTCAAACCCCTGTTCTTTGGAAATCTACCGTTGAGTTTCAGGTCCGTCCTCCTGTCCGTTGTGATCAGCAATGTTAACTATGGTGCTCGTCCCTCTGCGCCTTGGAACTCAATTTGGAGCCCTTGATGCCAGTCACGTAGGGACCAGAAAGGTATGGAAGGAAGGAGAACTAAAAAGACGGGAGACCGCGATGGCCACTTCTGGATCGTCAGCTTTCGTCAGTCAGCTTTACGCAACCCCAGAACTTGTAGAACTTGTGATTCGAACTCGCATACTTTAGTTCTTACAGGTGGTTGCGCAGTTACCGGTAATTATGCAAAGGAGTACCGACAATAACTAGGTACATGCTCCTCTGGAAACCTGGTAGGTCAGTGAACTTTCATAGCATAGAACATTTCCAATCGCAACGGAGAGAACGTAACTGAATGGTAGAGCACTGGACTTGTAGAAGATCCAGGTCCAAATCGCGCCTTTTTCAAACCTGTAGGTGGAAACAATTCCAGAGGAAGTAGATACGATAGGCTGTTTCAAGTTGTTACTTACATTCCGGTGTAAGATCACGAATTCGAATTCGTGAGCATACGGATACCGGCACGAGCCGGCAACAAGACGGGACGAGAACTACTCAAGGCCTGGGTCTCTAAACTCAACCTCTCTCCCGTATTACGCTTACGCGTCCAGATGGCGCAGCTCGGTTCTCAGTGAAAGAGGCATACGGTCGTCACAACATGAAACCAATGCGATTTAAACAGCGTGAATCCAGCTTAGTCAAGGATACAACCTTCTCACTTCCTCACTGTCAGACTTTGAAGGAGTTGTTATTGCTGTTTTTGTTTTTGCGCCCCCAATCTCTGAAGATTCTGAAAGCTCTGACTGATACGGCTGAGCTTGCAGCGACCACAGGCTTTTCTTTGCATGAAGAAACGACAGACAAAATTCTTTTGGTTCCAAGTCTAGAGTTGAGTGCTTTATGACATCCAAAACATTTAAGAGGAATATTTAACCACCGGGTGTGATACACATTGCTTGATCAAGCGCTCCTCACGTACATACGGCCAAATGAACCGAGACAGCGCTCTTTGTGGTGGTCAGACTCCACAGACGAAGATTGTGAACCTCGACCACACCGGGGATGTCGTAGAGAGCCTGACGCACCTCCGCAAAATTGATGCCCTTTGGTGTGCCCTCCATTAGAATATTCATTGCGTCCTTGAGGATACTGACAGTGGTTAGGAGAACGAGGACGGAGAATATGAAGGTGCAGATGGGGTCAGCAATTTTGTATTCAGGCTAAAAATAATAAGAAGCCAACGGTTTACGTCTTTTTTTAATACCGATCGAGGGATGACGGATATACCAAGGAGGTACGTCGATACAGAAAGGAATGAAAATGAAAGGTGCATGGTCGTTGGCGGGCATTTCGTTAAGACCGCGACACTCTGAATCGAACTTTAGGAATCGCGGCGACACGAAAAGAAACTGTATTTTTTACGTCGTTCGAAAGGAAAGGAGGAAACGTTTTCACAAATGCATCAGTACCAAACCTTTAAGGCCTCAATAGATGGATTGATTTCCACAGGTCCCCTATAGAATGACGTCACACTTTACCAGTTAATGTTGATTTAAGTGTACTGTAGAGGCCTTCACACTTCATTATAGGACCGCTGATTTGCAAACAATCCAATTCAGTAAGGCCTCTATTGTCCTTACTTCAAAGTTGACCTATCATGAAAGTAGCATTTGTTTTCTGCATGTGAACTTACAGGACATACTCACAGTAAATAGGTTTGAGGTAAGAAATGCCTACAAAAACGCAGAAGACTTCGAAGGAAATGTTGTAGTTGCAAAGGGCCACAGACATTTAAGAATCCTTATTTTTACCGTGCAGTAGCAAAAGCCTCTGCATTTAAAGACACACTTCGGGAGTGTAGGCCGGAACAAACGTTTCATTAACCTAGATCTTAATTGGTTAGCCAAACGCGACTAAAATTCGTGTAGCTTAGGTCGTATGCGGTTGGGCTTGGAATCAACCTTTTCCTCCATTTTCATCTTAATTAAGTTAAGTTGAAGCGAAAACTATCCCTCTATTCATGAACCAACCGTCTTACCTTGAAGAAGATCACAAATGCGGCAACCATAACACCTATACTTTGAAGAAAGTCACCAATCACGTGGATGAATGCGGCTCGGACATTGATATTCTCGCTTTCCGTCGATCTCTCATTTCCGTCTCCATCATCAGCGACAGCGTCTCCAGGACCACTAACGCCCGCCTCGTCCATAGTCCTCAGCGCATGCTGGTGTCCCTCATCATCCTTTGGTTTCTCCTCGGTGTAACTCTTTTTGAGACCATTGCGAAATTCACCTGCCTCGCAGATGTTGGTTGTACTGCCGCCGCCGCTGCCTCTGGTACGATCGAGGATTTTTGAGCCAAAGAACTTCTTCAACCTCGAAAGCACTCCATGACTGTGGCCGTGGCTTGAGCCACCATGACTGTGTTCACTGCCTCCGTGCGTGTGTCCGTGTTGGTGCAACGTAAGTGCCATTCTAAATGAGCAATCAAGAAGAAAAGCCTGAAATACTCGACGTGTGGACAACTTCATGGGATAGAGATCTAGAGGCGTCGACACCGACGGTGTAAATTATAAGTCAATTTGGCCTGGTTCTGCTACTATCAAAGACATATAGCTGTTTTGTAGGGGGTGGTCTAATTTCCACTGCATGAAACAAGGGGGATTTTCAGACCATGGATCATATGTTTTGAATTGGGATATGTTAAAAAACGGAAGTGTATTTGCATTTCAGTAATAGTCGTCTTCACACCGACCACACTCATTTCCTCAGTAGCCAAGATTGTTTAAATTTAAATGATACACGGTGTCCTTGAATACTTCGGACTTAGCGCCACGTCGTGGCTCAATTTCAGACCAGAAAGACTAAGGTTACGCATCAGCAGAAGAGCATCACGTATGGTAGATGGAAAACAAAAGTGCAATCGGAGCCTCTATTCATACGGTCTGTACAGTAAGCAATCCACGATATATGACAAGGTGTGCATTTCTCCAATTTCTACGATTTTCAAGCTGCTGTTTTTTCATTCTAATTGCCTAATCTTCCCTGTTCAAAAATGGGATAACTTAGTGGTCACTCTGGGCGACGTTTGGCGAGTTTAATGGATTGCAAAATATGGCACGATTGCTACATTTTGCCTTGTGGCTGTCGTCCTGAGCCCTAAGAGTCTGTCGCGTAACAAGGGACCGATGAAATTTCAGAAACGCTATTTATAAAGGCAGAGGAGACTGGAATAACTGCTTACGACTTATTTCTGCCCCTCAGAAAAAAGGTCGGAAGACACAAGATTTGACTTCAGACAAGAAAGGGACCAAGTTAATTATGCAGAACGGGCTTTTCTGTGTATGCGAAATTCTGTTTTAAAGATATGAGTTTTATAGGCGAACTGTCTTATTCAATAGATATTAGCAGATTGCTGCGAACGGAGAAGGGAAAAGAGGTTCTAGATGAATTTGTATTGAACTAATTGAACAACTATGTAGTCGGTTGCTCTTTAGTGACCAGAGTTTTCAACTTCCGTCTCATTGTGATCTCATGGAAATGGCCGACAATCAGAGTGAGTAATTGGCCAAAAGGTGCTATACTGAATAGCAACTTATGTTCTGGTGATGGCTTTGTGGAAAAATTCCCACTGATGAAATACGTCCTGAGGTTATGAGCACTTAATCATTTAAATTAAAGTGAAGGAAAACATAAAGGACAGCCTGGGCTCAAAATCGAATGGTTCCAAAATATCAAGGATATTATCAAGTTTTCTATCCGATGAATGGGTACAGAAGCATATTCAATAAATACTTTTAATGAGCTTATCTACTTAAAATTGTCTTGGAGGTGATACTTTTACTCTTTCAAGTCTACACTGGTTACCAAAAAATGACATGTGTTAGCCCAGATGAGAAAAATAAATGTTCATATTTTTCGGAATACCTCAGAGGTCCTGTCTTTTCAGATCTATAACGACAGAAGTATTACATCTGGCAGATATTGACTTGACAGGAAGTGTTTCTTTCTACCTTGTTCAGAGGAAATGTGCGGTACAACAACTTACGATAATTTCGTCAAAAACTTCAGCGGAAATCACAAGCCTGATATTTTGGAAAGCCAAAAAATTCCAAGGGCACGAAAAGGTCAAATGCGTCATAATATCTCTGTTAACATTAAGAAACGAAATTCCACAAAAATGAAGTCAGCGTTTACTGGGATCCACAGAGTATGCTTGAGCACTATGAGTACATGAGTACTACGAGACTGCATCTAATACATTAAGCCATTTTTTCTTAACATGATTTCTTTCCTTGTCAATTCGGAGGGGAGAGGACGAGCGTGTTATCAGTATCTTACAATCCGATGAAATGTGCTCGTACATTCTCTTCGCATGCTTCCTATGCACTACCGATCTTCGCATTCCTCTGAGTGTTTCAGAACATCCCTCTAAAGCTGTTATGTACAAAATTTACGCCATCCTAGCATTGACTTTGTGGTCGCATTATTTACACTCTTCGGATTCGATAAGCATAGCCACTTGGTGGTGCTTTACATTAGGAGAATTCAATGAAAATTCGTACGATCTTTACGAAGCCGAAAATAAGGGAAGTGGCTAAATTGTCAACTGCAGCGCAAGTTCTGATATGAAAAAACCCGAAAATACTAGTCGGAGCGTAACCACAACTCGACAGAAAACCTAGGCATGTCAATCGAACGGGCAGTGAATTGCGAGATTTTGATTTTGAAAATCGCATGTGAGATCCAAAGAAGAAGCTGAAAAATGCTTAGGCTCGAAGAAATTGGAGGATTATGCGGCTCAAAGTTCTCCAAACATATGTTGTTCACTTTAATTGAGAGAGGTGGCGTTTACGTGACAGCAGCTCTGAATTAGATTAAACCTTACGCATTACGGCGAGCTAAACTGGATTTTATTTGAGCCAACATTTATAGTTCCGCGGTTGCTTAAACGGAAGTGTCCTGTTGGTGAAACCAATTTAAGTCAGGATTGGCACAACGTGACCTTAAATGAATATTATCAAATGCAACCCGTTCGGAAATCAAGACTCGAATGACAAAAGGTTAGGAGAAGGTCAAGGACGCAACAAGTTCTCAAAAATTACCCTAATCTGGTTGAAACAATGGAGAAGAATCTATGGCGGCAGTGTAGGGCTGTAACTCTACCCCACACTGCTCTAGTTCGACGCATTTACTCATTTCATTTAGAATAATGGAACCTAGGTATCCAGAGTCGTTCATTTCCTGTAATCTTTTTGTGAATTAGGCAGCACACAGATGATCATGTTACTTCTCGTTACCTCGAACAATTTTCTCTGAAAGCGCAGTCGTTCCAAGTAAAGCTTGTTTCCCCAGATTCAACTGGCTTATATGACACAAAAAATGGCAAGGAATTAATACTGTGGTGTCTCACTAACTGACGCGAGTTAAGCAGAGATAAAAGAATCCTACTGGTTTGCGAGTCTTTTGCTTCTCAACGAATTCAAAGCAGGATGAATCGCACTCCTGTGAAGTATTCGCTTTTATTAAAAAGGCTGCGCTTGAAATGAGGAGAGGTAGTGTGAAGACAAATTAGAGAATCCTTAATTCGAGCCCATCCATCTCCGGAAGAGATCCAGACCTTGGTGTTAAGAATAGAATTAAAAGGGCGACCTTAAAAGCCTACAGCAATCACCCTGTTCGAATCGTAAGTAAGCAGCCCATTAAAAGTGCAACAGACCAGACGCAGTTGTTTCACAGTTACTAATGGTCGGTAAAGGTCTGTAAGCGTCTGCTATGCCATGATCAGCAAATCATGGCCCTCGCAGCCTGGTATGCGCCGGCAGTTCTATAGTAATAATACTAACGATAATAATTTTTTATTAAAGACCGTCGGGGTCCCCTGGTTCCCCGCCGGTAGATGCGCTTGCGCTCCCGCTAGGTATGCAAGTCATGAGCATGGCTGCCTAGTTGTTTCGTCCTTCTGACGTGTTGTAGTGTTGCTGTTATTGGTTAAAATCCTTGTCAAGTGTTTGTTGTGGACCAGAGGGTGTGGTTGTACACCCAGGTGCGGGTCCGGCCATGTCAGACACCTGCGTCTTCTCTCATCTCCGGTCTTCTTGACTCTGTCTTCACACCGGGCGCAGGCGGCAGGAAAAAGAGGGTGCGGTAGATGCCTCGCAAGTCTACACTCACTATAAATTAATTCACGCGCAAGTCGCCTCGCCTGCTTCACCTGATGTGGAGCACACGGTGGACATCGTCCGCAACGATGGTTGAACTGTCATGTGTCCTATGACGCAGAGTTCCTTATCGTAAGAAGTAAACTGGCGGACGCACAGAATGGGATGGATTGAGATCCTAACCAAAATAGTGAGGGTCACAGGCTGACTTGACATGTATACATATATATCAGTGAATCATAACCTGTCCGTCGAAACCGCTAAACTCCGACATTTAGCGAATCAGTCGAAGTTCCATTCACCTCAAATCACAATTGTGGTCTCGCAACATGAGATTTCTGCCCATGTGGGTTCAGCACTTCCCATGTGTCTAGTGCACAAGATCAGAAATGCCTGCTAATAAATAATTTCTGCAGCCACCTTTAAATTTCGGCATTTTCCTAACATGAGAAATTATTTTTTTTACTCAACGAACCATCCCTTCGGTAAAAAACAAAAATCTTAAAGCAAAGCACGCAAAGCACGCAAGGCACACATACATAAGGTTCACAGCGACTCCGACAGCAGATGTGATGAGCATGACCTTGCCGTCGATTTCGTAGTTCTCATGAATGACTCGCATAACTGCCAGGTAGACGAGAATACCCGTAACCAGCCAGATCATGAGGACTGAGATCAGAGCGCCGACAACCTCTGTGAAAAAAGAGAAATAGGAAACTGCCACTACAATGACGAAATTCCTGTCTTGTTTACGTCCGATGTTCCACGAAAACAGAGATTATACTCCGTGCTGTTGGGTAAAATAACACTACGAATTGAAAAAAATTGCCCACCTCTAAAAAAATACTTGCTCGAATCAGCGCTGTGGCAGAGGTGATTTCTAATGGCACAAGGGTTCAGTGCTGCCTTTATGAGATCATTGACTGCGTCTACTTTTCCGTCTGATCAACCCTCACAGAATGAGTCTAAACGGGGAAGATTACGAGACACTAAAATATGTGAGGCTATATGTAAATGGTAGGCTAGGGTGGGCTTATTAATACATCAAAGGTCCGGTCAGACTGATCTGCTTAATGTGCGACTAAGAATTCGATCCACCTTTATGGTTGAAGCCGAAGATTTTAACAGCCTACATTAGCATGCCTAACCTGCTTTTTTACACAAATCCAAAATCGCTAGACACTTTAAATACTCAGCGATGCTCCGACAAGGACAAAGCGACTGAAACGGAACCTATTTCAGGCTCATTCGTACCCTTTTCGGCCAGCCATGCGCTCAATCATAACATGACGCCGAGCAAAAACCAATATGCGCACACTTTTGGCTTTTTTGAACCACAGGTGAGGCCAAGCTAACAAATCAGTAGTTTGGAATCCCAAGGCCGTAAGAACAACAAACTAGCGGATGCCGACTAATCGATGCACACTGAGCCAGAAATCTGGATCGATAAAGCGGCCGCATAAACTAGCTAGAGTTACCAGCCTTTCTCAAATCTGGAATCTTTCAGTTTACGATTCCGTCCTTTGAATGCACTCTGGTGTTCTTCAAGCAATGACCATCAACCTCGAAGGCTACCTTCCTGAGGTGCGGCATGTGTGATTGTAGATTTGGGCCGAAGTAAATTCTCTATCACCTGCCGGTGATAATTACTTATTTGGTTCAGTTGGGCAATTTTTCCGGCAAGCATCAAACCTTTTCTTGTCAAGGGAATGGTTTATGGCCGGTGTTATTTATTCTGGGTGCATTTGCGTTGAACAAGAGAGCTAGATATCTAGGAAATTGATGAGTGACCTTAGAGTAAATCCTTCGGAGCAGACCATTTCAGGCTCGGCCCGAAAGTTGCCGTGAATGTTTGGGGCTGAAACCCATCAGCTACGGCGGAATAGCCGCGTAATATTCACAAGCCACCAATAGGCAGCCAGTAGTATACAATTACTGGTACCGGAAGAAAAGCCTGCGGAACGCTGGGGACCCACTGATGAGCCGAACCCCAAGCAGCACAAGATCGGGGAAACACGCGTGTCTGGGCTTTAGCTAGTACCTGTTCTGCCAGTATAGTAAATAATTGTACACTTAGATGACCGATGTTTGGGCCTCTTTTAGATCAAACACAGTTCTCTCACTGACACGAAAATCATACTAAACTATCTTGGAAACGCTGATGAAACTGTTTATTAGACGGAGAATACACCGGAAACCTTACCTGCACGATACCATCCGAAACTCATGCGTTTGGTAGCAGGACGGCTAGCAAGGTAGATTGCGAAGAGGCTGATGAGGAAACTGGCGAAGTCAGTAAGCAAGTGGGCAGCGTCTGTCATGATAGCTAGACTGTGCGCAATAGCCCCACCTGTAAAGGCAGAACACTAGAGAGATGAAATAAAGTTGTTCAGAACCTGACCATCTTAATTTTAAACCATGCAAAGACCCCTGGATGCATTTTAAGAAAGCAACGATTTAGGATTGGAGTAATGTTGGTCGCAAAATATGCACTGAATTTTGCTGCAGATGTTACTGAAGGCTAATTTACCACCTAGCGAGAGCTGTAAAATTTTGATTCGAAGTTTAGCTGTGGACAGTTTCGCAAAAGCTTCATATCAAAATCATCCTTTGGGAAGTGGATGTTAGGTTCGGGGATTTTTGCAAAAAGGCAAGAATAACATATGTGTCATTTTAGCTCTGAAATACTCGTAAGTTAAATAAAAGAGACTGCAACGGAATAATCTCAATGGCAGATAGACCTACATCTATATAGTCGTGAATTAATTGTATAAAGAAGACGTTCGAGTGAAATTTCTTTTGAGGGAGGGAAATCGTCACGTTAACGCGACAAACTTTGTCCTTCATCAGACGGTTCAAACACGGAACAAATTTATTCAGTTAATTTAATTACAAAAGTTTCCCAACGTCGAGATGGGCTGCATCATCTAAATGCTGAAAAATGTATGAGTAAAATTCAAAAACCCTGAAACTTATTTCTGCAAAACACTCTTGATGTATGCTACCTCCACACTCTAACTGTCAGTGTTATTGAAGCTTGCTTTGTTCATTCGGCACGGCGAACTAACTCAGTCTTTTTAAACATCAATAAATGCTATCGTATAGCTTTTTGCATTGAGGTCTTGACAAAGTAGTTGACGGACTAAAAATAGACTCATTTTGAGTCATAAAAAGAAAACACCGGAAATTCGCCTATCTTGCCAGCTTAGTACTGATAGTTCAGCACCCAGAACATCGAAAACAAATTGGGCGATTGTCGGCTACTTCTGATCCTAGGGCTGGGTGGAGTATCGACATTCACAGTACTAAGCAATATTAAATATCAAGACAATGCATGCATTAGTATGCGGATGGGCATACCAATTTCGAATAATAAGCTGAGGTCCAAACTATAGGCGATTTAAAGGACCGTCTAAAGTTCTCTGTCAAAATATTTTCTCTTGAGGGCATCAAACGCTGTTTGAGAACACAATTATAGTAAAATGGGCAAGAAGCACAGTAAAGGAGCATCTTCTCACCAGTAGCTTCACCAATCATGAAGAAGAGACAAAGACCGCTGGCAATGATTAGCTTCCGCCGAGCAACCCTGTCAATCGCCGTCCGTTCGGCATCCATATGACAGTGCTGATCTGTGGAAAAGGAAGCAAGTAATAAAACCGTCACCAACACAGCGGCGAGTATGGAAGAAAATAAGAGAAGACGGAGTTATAAATGCTTCTGAGATGAAATCTACTGCTTTGAAAGGAAGCTTTACCTTGTATTTTTCATTTTGGGTCATCTAGGGTCACTTTGTTTAGACAAAAAGTCTTTCATCCTTGAACTCCTTATTTGTATCTGAAGGTTTTACCACACTGTCAAAGTAGGTACTATCTAAAGGTCCAGACACATGTTTCACGGACGTTTTCGCTGCTGTAGGATGCAAACGGAAGCGACTCGGTTCGCAATGGGTACCCAATCGTCCCCCAGACTGGTTTTTGGTACATTAACACCAGATAAAAATCAAGCTTACAACTTAGCGAATTATTATGCGCAGGTTATTTTTGACTAGTTGCTTTGACCTGTTATCAAACGAAGAAAGCCTCTATGGCGTTTGGCCATAAACGCCATGTTTGCCTCTTCATTTTATTTGATGTCATGTCGTTCTGCCGTTCCAGAAGCTTAGTCGGAACGTTTTACATTATTTATGGGCCTGTACTCTGACCTTAATGTTCACCGGTGTCCTGTGATGTATGTTTTACTATCAAAGTTCTTGTAAGAATTATTAAGTCAGGCAAATTACAGACAATTAGGCTAATAATTTCGTAAATTATTAAGGGTAGGACTTGGATTTGAGTGCCTAGGACATGGCGCTTTAGGGTCGGGCTTGAAATTTCAATGAACTTTTGACTTTTAGACAATTAACTTCTACTGAATGGCTCACAGTACCCACCAAATATACAAGTAGTACTATAAGCGGTATACTTCCCACTTTACTCAAAGTCCTGCAATTTATGCTTTCCGAAATTATTAGCTCAATATTCATTTGGGGTTCTTATGCCAAAAACCAGGACAAGGAACACTGGGAGACCCATTAAGGGACTGACCCCCTCACCGCTGCGTCATACAACACTAAAAATCGATAAAACTCGTGTTAGTGATTATAGCCAGTTTGTTGGGAGTACGGCAAAGCCTTCGTCACATGAGAATTATGCTACTTGTAGTATTATTTGTGAAAAAAATGGGCATAACGCGGTTGTCTCGCAGACGTTTACTGCTTTTGACCTAAAACCCACCAATATTTCGGGACGATCATAAAAGGCAATGTCGTAAGATCTCACCCCCAAGCCCTGTCCTTAATAATTTCCGATATTTATAGCCTGATTGTCTGTAATTTGCCTGATCTAATACGTAGGAACCGAGACTTTGATAACAAAGTATACATTAAAGGACACCGGTGAACAGTAAGGCCACAGTACACGCTCATAGACAATATAAGGGCTTCAAAGTAGGCTTTTAAAAGTGTGGAACGACATGGCGTGAAGTTAAATGAAGGTACAAAAAATGAATGGTCAAAGGGCATAGTTGTCTTCTTCGTTTGATAACAGGGCAAAGTAAATGGTTGGAAATGATCTCAGTTGCACGTAAAAATTCGATAATTCACGACAACATCCCGGTCATCTGGCAGCTAGCTTGCCCACGTGTTGCCGTACTTAACGGGAAAATCAGGACTCGGCCGCCTTATGCCACTCAAACATTAAATTTGCAAATGTTATTTTCTAAAATTGATAACACTGAGCTACCCGACTTGAACCATGGGGTCTCCTTGTGCTTAAACTCGCCTGCGGTAAAATAAGGCAGTGAGTCCGCCTATTTTGCACGTCAAAGAAGCCCATTCGGTCATAGTCGGCATGACATGCTTGGAGAGGATTGCCTAGATCTATAAGATAGAGCTCATCAACAAATCCCACGTGGTGCCTGCAATGTGGTCTATTGCAGCAAGATCAGGAAATCCGTCCGTATCTGAGTATATGAGCACCCAGATAGCGGTTAGACGACGAGACCATCTATTCCTACCGTCCATGCGCCCATTTGTTACGAGACAGTGACATGGGAGGAAACATGTACCGTTGATGCCTGCCCTAAAAACAAGGATCCGATGCAACAAGATGACGTATTCACTAATACGCATGTCGACTTAGACTCCCAGATAGAGTTCCCGAATATAAGTGAAAATGGACACAGCAAAACCGGGCCGGCGGACGACATGCAATGAAAGTGCATTGGTGCAGAACTTAGTCAACCGTGGAATTTTTCACTGTGTCCACTTAAAGTGTTAACTGCTTTGCACATTGTCCATACTTATGACAAGAAGATGGAAGACAGTCACGACGTTTTTGCAATAGAATTTTGTTCCCACAGCATTGTCTGTGTGAGCCTTAGATCGAGCTTCAAAGCACAACGGGACGGGCAGTTCATGAAACCCAGTCGGCAAACGTTTTTCCAACACGGTTAATACTCTCGATCATAAACGACAGGCCAACGGGCTCGCAGTCCAATGGTTAGGGCGCTGAACTTACTAACGCTTACTAACTGAAAGAATTCGGGTTCAAACATCAAGTACACCCAAAACGTGAGGTGGGGTAAGGCTGGCTGACGACTGCACATGGGACGAAAATCGCCGTCCCAGTCTTCCTTGTCTTTGTTGATAATCTCCTTCTGCATATTTATACACGTACTGGGGTGTTTGCTGGATTTATGCGTAAAAATTCTTCAGTTTGAGATTTTATTGTCTTGACGGACGGACTGCCTGAGGGGAACTGCAGACAATGGATTCAACAAGTCGCAGGATGACCTCGACTGCCATGCCGCTCAAAGCTCGGCTTGCGAAAGTGGCGTATCCGGCAGCGGTTTAACTGACCACACAAGAGAGGTTGCCCATCAACAACAAATCTATTGAAAAAAAGCATTATCAGACGGATCCCAACAGTATTCCAGATCTGCAAATTTCGGCTAATTTCGGGCATCGACTAGTGTTTTCTTGCTTGCTGCATTATTAAACCGCGACTTACGAAACATCGGTATTAAGAAAGCCGAAATTTGTGCGACACGCACTAGCACGAAACAGAGGTATCTTTCAATTTTACACAGAAGTGGTGTTTCAGAGACCCAAAACTCCCGCCTAGAGCATAGGGTATTATAGTGAGATATAATTGATGATTTGATGAAAAGATACTAAAACGAGGAACAGTTTAAAGACTAGACGTGAATGAACGATTCAAGTGACAGCAGTCTTCACTCATATGGTTGATAAACCTCTTGGCCGGCTTCAAATATCAGACCCTTCTGCCCTGGCTATGCCAAGTGGCATTCACAATGTGGCGCTTAATCTTTTTTCAGAGGAATTTTTCGTGCAGTTTTACATGGATGAGATGATCGGAGGGCACTTTAACACTAGAAACACTTTTCTGAAGACGCTGGCACTTGCTTGAAGATTCTACGTACAGGGCAAGTAAATACGCTTGTTTGCATTCTTTGTACAGTTTTACCTGCTTTTGGCAATTTAAAGTGCTTTAACTATCATAAACCGAGTTGCAGTGTGAACTGCGAGATTATCCATAAACAGTCTTTAGGTAAAATAGTGCCAATTTGCATTAATCTTTTCAATGACGATTTTTGGAATGCAAGTTTTACGTTAGAGAGCCTTTCTCAAATCTACTAAAACCGTATGTTTCACGGTTTTTCATTCGCATTCCTTAAGTTCTCATACATATTTGAGACGAAATAAATTTTCGGAGAAATATAAAAGCTCGCTAACCTGAGGAGATATTATCCGTGATTGTTCTACAAATGGTAGGAAAAGTAGATGAACACTAAAAATGTAGTGTTAGAAGGCCTTTCAAAAACTACAAGAACAGCTTTCAAAGCTATCATACTCTCAAATATCATGCAGGTATTTGCGAAGTAGGAAGTAAGGATACTAAATTAGGATGGACTTAGAATATTCAAAACAAATAAGGCTTTGCAATAATGCGTCGTGAACAATTTGGTTTGTCTTATTTCATTGATTTTAAACTGCATGACGCCGTTCGGCTTGAGTGACATTTGGGTTCCTCGTCTGGCCTGGGTTTTCGCTCCTTCATCCAACTTAAATTACACTGCTTAATTCGTTGAAATTTCCGGGGAGTTTAAACCATGTCCATTTCACTAGACAGGATATTAAGCATGACAAATGCGACTTGAATAACGGAGTAAATTTATTTTTTTACCAATAAAAGACAACGTTCATCTATCTGCAAAAATTGTTCCGTTTTGCCAATACCCATGAAAAGGCCGTGAAATAAGTTGCTCTGCCTCATATTCTTTCCTATATATCTATGAGATAACGATTTGGTACTTCCATAAGTCTCGCTATTGACAGAATGTACACGTAGAAAATGGGACAGAACAAGCAAATGGCAAAATAGTCAACATCAAACTGCTAATTGGATTTGCATATGCCCCCGAGGGTACTGAAAACGAAAGCCTACTTGGATATCTTCATGAATCAGAAGCAAAACCAATTTTAAAGCCTATGTTTTTAGAAAAGAACGATGAAAGACTTCCAGTCGCTCGTACGCTATGAAGCTCTACTACCTGATCGTGGACATACCTGCGAAAGATTGGCCTTTCGTGGGGAGTTTTTGTGTCCATATCATCCTGTTCGTAGCCCGCATGTAGATCAGCGTAATCCATGTCTGCGTCCACTCAAGTGTCCTCCAGTGTATGCTTATCAGATTCCTAAACTGAACGCAACTACTAAATCCACACACAGCGAATGACTCGACAAACTTCTACTCAACGACTGAAGCAATTATCCCGCGGATAATTTGCTCCTTGCTAGAGCCTGTTGGGAGTCAGTCGACATGCTGCAGTCTGTCCTTAGAACGACGGCCCGGAAAGCGAGGCCTACAAATAATTACCGCTTGTGAAGTTAATTGCCTGTAAAACCGGAAGTTCCAGGGTACAACTACCGACGCGAGTATTCGGTGTCCTACTGCCTCGCAGTGTTTCGGCCAGAAAAAATCCCCATGTTTCTTAAAATAGTCTGTCTGTCCTAAAATCCGTCGTTTTCGAAGATACCAAACAATATGCATGTGGCGCATTTTTCTGAAAGCACTAAGTTGAATTCACTGGATGTTTTAGCAAAGATACGTGGTCGTCGTTTGATACTAGAGCAAATAAGCGTTAGGAAAAAGGCATACGGACTCCGTTGTACTCTTACAAGTCGTGAGAATTATGCATAAGCTAACAAAATCTCGTATATCATAACGGTGGGATCTGAACAATTACAATTCAAGTAGGGACGGGAAGTCAGGTAAGAATGCCATGAAAAAGAATACTTAAGAAACAATGCGTTGCAAACGATAAGGAGTGACAATAGTAACGTGTCATTAGGAACAGTGCATTTTTAGCAGCTAACTGTGGGAATTTTTGAAATACCAGTGAGCCTCCTCTATATTTGTAAAATGGCGCCTTTGGGAGGCCGGTGCGAAACTATTACATGTTAAGATATTAGGCCTACCGTAAAATCTTCTGAAATGCTTGTAAACACAAATGAATGGAGCGTTAGTGTCGACACGGAGCCCAAATCTGAGGCAGTTGTCGTATGCTGGTTTCCGTTTGAGAAAATATACGAAGTTCAACATGTTGCCCAGTCATGGCAAATAACCGCCTACGAAGCATACATTTTCCGACTACTTGCTAATGCTTGGAGTCATTCAGGCATTTTTCATGGGCAGGATGCACGAATTTCGAATAATTTGTCTCTGGTAGGTTGAAATACCGGTATGTCCGAAAGGCAACATTTTAACGCTCAGCAAGTGTAGGGTTTAAAACATTTCATGTACTCATGCCAGTTCAGTCGTCTTTGACGATGATGTATACCGTGCGTCCCACAGCAGGGCAGTGACTTGCGCGAGAATTGGATTATGGTGGCAACAGACTTTCGCTGGGCCTGTCGCACTCACTCCTCTCTCACTCACCTGGGCCCGGTAGCAAGATTGAGTCAGGACCAGCAGAGGTGACTGACAATGTCCAACAGGCCCGCACGTGCCACACACGGTCTAGTTCGCGCACAGTGTACTCGATTTCACGAAAAAGGGGGCGGTTTTGATCCCATCTGAGCGAGAGTTCCATAGAGGTCATACTAAAAGGTAGCCATTGAACCTGACTGAATCCTAAAGCTAGTCACTACATATACGCTGGTAGTATTGGCCACGAGTATCGAAGTGCCCCCTCAGTTTACAGCCTTCCAAGCCAGGGCTTTTAGCGCGCTGTGATAGGTGCAGGCGTCTCAAGTTTGTCAATATTAAGGCATGCGCTGAAGTGTCGTACGAGCGGATTCCGCAAAGCTGACCACAGTTACACTTCGCTCTTCCGAGCCTGCCACCCATCTATTGCTGAGATCGGGCATAATGGCTGACAAAACCCAGTGGGCTCTCTATACATGCTACACAGCGCCCGCCCTCCGCGCCGTATACTTGGTTTTCACGTAAGGACGACTCAGACACATATACAGCGAAGGTGTAACGACGGAGGCATATGATACTGGGATGGCCATTTCTAGTTCATTAGCCGTCGCCAGCCAATGTTCCCAACCTCAGAGGAGGAAGAAGATGGATGGGTTCGTGAGTCCAACTGTATTCATACTGAATTTTCGGAAACTTCCTCGTCTCCGTGTTGCAGTTGGGAACCCCGTTGGTCCTGATTTATCCAGCCGCGGAACCTACCAGCCATGCACGGACTTTGATTCGCCACCGTCTGCTGTTGATTAGCTTTGACCTCTCCGTGGTCAACCTCTGGCGGGCTCGTGTGACCTTTTCCCGCTTACGGCCATCGTAGTCACAACAAAATCGGCGTGTCTGTTGGCCCTGCTCGTGCGAATTTTTCCTAGTGCTTTAGCGGCAGCAAATTTTCGGTTTAACCTCTCCAACACAACCCTCAGATTTCGATTCCGGAGGCAGAATCTGGGGAACTTCTGATAATATGGAAAATGAGGAATAACATCACCCTGCGAGACGATTAGGGGAGCTCGAAGATCGTCATGAACAGAATTTCAAAACCTATTGGCAGTGTGCTTTCGGATGCCAGTGAGTTCGAAAAGCCCGTGAATACCATAGACAGGACGAATGAAGTTGAGGAATGCGGGAGTTCTCAAGAGATGGCAATCACTGGCCCCAAAACCCACACGCCTCCACAGCCTGCCAGAGGGGCACAAGTCAAGAGTGTCGTTAACAAGGATTTGGATTGGATGGTAAAGTCGGCTGAAGAGTTTGGATGCGTGTCAGGCATATAAAAGTGGCGGTAGACAAGTTTTTGGCGTCGTTCGACATGGCCTTGCTAGTTACCTCTCCCCAGATCACTCTGGCTATGGAAGTATTTACGATCTTTCCGGAAAAAATACAATAATAATGATCAGCAGCTTTAACAAGTGTATATCGTTGCACTCATGGGACTGTGTTTTTAGACTTTCTTCACGTATGCCGAGTAAGTTAGCAAGTAAAAGAAGTGAACAGTGATGGGTTCGGCTCTAGCTGGACTAATTGCTGAAACAGTACTGCAGAGGCTCAGATGGCTTGTCTTTAGTTCGTAACCAAGAAATTCTTGCCTAGAAACGTCGGGTAGGCATTCATAGGAATCACAAGATCAACATGCAGGTCTTCAAGGCATTGATAAACCTGATCTCGTGCGACATTCAGTTTGCCACTAAAGTAGATGTCAACAACCGGTGGGCGTCGTTGACGTACAAGTTGCAAATTTGGCAGACGGGAAGATAAGTACAGTGGTCTACTGTAAGGCAACCAACAGTAGGCGCATCCTTCAGTTCCAAAGCAATAACCCGATGGTCGTAAGCGCATTAGCGACAGAAGCCTCTTCTACGGGGCCCGAGCAAACTGTAGCCACAGCAATGCAAGGAAGGAGAAGAAGAAGAAGAAGAAGTAAAGAAGAAGAAGAGGAAGAAGAAAAAGGTTGACATACTTGGACGCCCTACCTGGAGCCAACAGCTATTTAAAATCCTCCATACGCAAGTGCCTCAGGAAACCTCACTTTGCGCCGTTGAGGACTGAAAAAACCGAATTTTTGCACCTGCGTCCTGTATAAGAGAAGTTTCGGATGCGCTGTCAAGGGTCCAGAAATCCTTTGGGATTGGTGTGGCCCATAATCAGACGGCAAACCGTGAGGCCCAAAGATCGGCTACTGGCGACAGAACGATCGGCAGTGGTCTAGGGGATAGCATGCCAATATTGTGTTTCGATGTTTGCTGGTAAGAGGGGTAAACGTCTAGGCACAAGATTGTACAAGTGCCAGCTTTCAGCCAGACGGGAGCAAACAAGGTCTCTGGACTATGGCTACAAAACAACAGCGGCGCAAATTTTCGTCTTCGAGAAAGCGAAGGTCATTGGGCAGGCCAATGAGAAAATAGCTAGCCTGGTGCTCCAAAGCTGGTCTTCGACCGGTACACTTGAACGGAGCCACGGACCTGCATCCTGCCTACCAAGGCTCGTTACCCACAAGGCTCGAGTCAACTTCAACAGGGCCAATAGTATGGGCATGCAGTCACGAGGAGCGACAGCTAACGCCTTCGGATAAGTGGAAAAAAAGTCAGTCGGTGATCACGTGATCGGCATTGGGCAGTCCGACCAACGCGTCCACGTGGACAAGAACTATTTGCACAAGTGGCTATAGCTGATCACGTTCATTATACCGGAAAAAGCAAATAGAGAGAGGATGAGAGTTCGCGGAGTGTGCTGCATTTTCAGAAACGGTAACAATCGGGAGAGGGCACCCAAAAAAATACTGCCGGCCAAGGCAACGATCTTATCGCAACTGACCTAAGCTATGCAGCCATTGACTGAGCCGCACACTGGCGGCTGCGGTAGCTCCTGACCTCCGCAGGTAATGGTGAAAATTGATAATCCAAGTGCTCGGTCAACGGCGATTGTATTGCAATTGTCCGTAGGTGAGCTACTATAGATTAATCGGCATAGGGACTACTGCGGTCGCTTGTCAGCAGTGGAAGCTTATATTAAGGTTGTTTAACGTAAGGTGGGTCTACGGCGATCGTTTTGCAACTTTCCAACGGGTATGGTGCCATAGGTTGAGCCGCATACGTACAAATGCGGTCATTCCTCACCTAAGGAAGAAATGGCTATAATGGATAAGTCAAAGGGCCGGTCCACAGCGATCGTATCGCAAGTGTTTGAACGTATGCTATCATAGAGTAAGCCGCATATCGACTGCTGCGCTCGCTCTTCAGCTGTGGAAGCTGATGTCAAGGTTGGTAAACATAGGATTGGTCTAAAGCGATCATTACCCAACTCTCCTAAGCTATACTGTTCTGAAGTAAGCCGCAAACGGACTAATGTCGTCGCTCGTGACCTAAGCAAGCATATGTGAAGGGTGGCAAACCAATGGTCGGTCTATAGCGATCGTTTCTCAACTCTCCTAAGGTACGCAAGGGTAGATTTAGCCGCAACCCCACTACTGCTGTCACTCTTCAGCCGTGTAAGCCTAGGTCAAGGTTGATTAACCATGGCTCGGTCTGCAGCGGTCGCATCTCAACGGTTGGAGACTATGATAATCTAAGTGAGGCAACATGTGCACTGCAGATCAGATAAAATTGAGGTCGGATGAAACGACAAATATGTAGTGCCATAAACTACTCAAATTGGTATAGGAGGTATTATTTCTAGGCAATGGATATTTGGGTGCCCTCTCCCGATTGTTACCTCGGAGAGCCTTCCTCATTCCCGTGGTTAGAGCGCCCAGCTGGCTGTTCCTGTTAGGACCTATTTATTCAGCCTCATGTCATAGCCATTGGATGAATTTTTGACCCGTCTATTGATTGCTGATCATATTTCGCTTCTCGGTGGCTGACAGGTGACTAGATTGCATAACTTCTTACCCCTTCGTAGCCGTCACAATCGCAGCAAGATTAGCGTGCCAAGTGGTACTATCCACGTCATTGGGCGGATTGACCAATAGTAACCGCGCACGAGAATCGAAACAGCCTGCCTTTACTTTGTTCCTCTGGCTACAAAAAGGATTTTATCCGAAAACAGCCATGTATTTCATCCGGTCCCTATGACGTGGAACATCTTCGGGCATGATGTCATCATGATGTTTCTTCATGATATTCATCAAATATTAGGGCAGTTTTGCATTTCGTCACATGCATTGTACGCATCAGTACAGACTAATGGGCATTACGCTCCGTAAATGGACACATGGAAGTTTATGACAGAATCACGCTAGTGAATTTTATAAAGAACCATAAAACGTCCCGCTCCTTCTGGTGCTTTATTTCGAAAGGAAATTTTCATAATCACTTATAGAGGCGAAACAATAAAACGCACTGAAACGCCAGTTATTTTCGAGGGCTTTGTGCTAAAATACTTTTGCTTTGGAAATATTTTTAACTTTCGTCTAATGCCATTGGGAGCAGCAACCTCAGTTACGTGATCTTATGAATTCAAAGGTCTACTTGGAGGTTACAGCCAGCTATTTGTGGTTCACCAAGCCAAGGCAAATATGCTTCACATTAAGCTGCTCCTCAAAGACCACCGGGAAGCTTTGAGCACACATCAGCAAACTAAAACACTCGTTATTTTAAATGGAAAAAATGGAGGAAAAACGCACATTCATTTTCGGTGGGCTGTCAGTGTCTTCCTTAACACTGCGGTTGTGTTTAAGGCGTAGTAAGCAAGACAGTCCATAAATAAGAGTTATTAAAAATAAAGACAAGAAAGTTTGGAATTTTTTTTCTTCGGTCCTGTCTGCCGTCATCGGTCGGATCCTTCGACTATTGATTGAACGTCGCTAGGTCAAAGCCTGCACTGCATTTCTACAAGAGCTTCAAAGTAAATCGGAAACGCCCATTTCCGTCTTGAAACTGGGACGGATCAGCGGGCGTCGCTCTCATGTGAGCGCGATTCCTTCTTTTAAGAATAGTGAAATTGGTGCGGCAGCTCCCGTCAGACTAGCAACGAAAGCTAACTTTCGGGAGTCGGCGTGGACCTCAAAAAGACTCACTATCAAGAGAACGGAAAAATCGGGCCTACTTACTTTTAAAAGTAACCCTTTTTGCGAACTGAACTTCTCGATAGGACTGAGGCTAGTACCCAGGAGTAGGAAGTTTTCAGTAGCTCAATAAATGAAAAGAAACATTGGTTAAAATAATAAACAATTATTTGGGTCTTTTGGATCCTGTTACAAATTTTAGACGAGAACAACACTCTACACTAAAAAGGGTTGACTTATGCACCAGCATCTTCAATGTAGTAAGTGCTGAGGCGGTTAATTAATAAGGAATGCAAACTTGCTTACAGTCCTCGTCGAGAATTCCGTGAAATTTTTACTGCCACTGATTTTGTGGCAAAGGTAGGCACTTTTCGAATGACTACCCTCATACGGTCAGTCGACATGACAAATTGCTGATACACAAATTTCCTGATATAGCATCGACTCTCGTTTTTGGTGCCCTGTCTTGAACCACATAAATTTCAGTAGGCTTCGTTTTCACCAGTAAACAAACCTTAAAAGATGACCTATCACTATTCCACAAAGCTGACAAGAAAACGTACATGGACATATCTTTGGAACCCGGTGCACGAACACACGTTTCTCACTGCCCCCTCGAGTTTGTATGTCTTTGAGGTTAAAACAGTCAGTGACTGAGAAATTTTCTAATCAGACACTATTTCATAACGCAGCTGAATACTGTTATACCTATGTACAACCAAGCTGGTAATAATTAACTTTTTTAAAAAATCACCCCAACTGGGGAAAGCATGAAGTCTTACGCCGTCCGAAAACGCTTCTTGGCTGCCTTTACCAAAGCTTCCTTTGTTGTTTCAAAGCACAGAGTATTGTAGAGCGTCCGATCTCTTACCGGAGACGATTGTATTTCCTGACTGCACAAAATACTCGCTCTTCAACCCCAGCAGAACGGTCACTCAGACTGAAGAACAACAAACTTGCCAGTGACGTCGTAAAGAAGGGGCGATTACTTTGTCCAGCCGATAGTTGAGACAATGCAGCAGACGGCACAAATTTTGAGGGCGTTCGATCCCAGCCGGTTTCCCAGTATGTTGGCATTCGTAGTTCCCACTCAGAAGTTGGCAAATTTATAGCGACCAGAATGTCTGTCAAGGCCACGCAAAGACCGCTCTAAACTGTTGCCGCTGACCCAATAGTCATATGACCTCGTGACAATGAACCACGCGATATGCCCCAGTTTAGTCACTCGTAACGGAAATGTAAAGGAGCCTATGAACCGAACTGTAAGATACATGGTGTACAAGGAGACAAACGGGTTTTATTATCGCACGATAAAATATATAAAGTTTCTAGAACAACTGCTCTAATATGATTATTCTTGAGACCAATTCCATTCTTTCTTACACAGTAATGGTCCCCTTTCCCCGTAATGTCTCACCCAGCAGCACGAGGAAGTTCTTCGGACAAAAAGTGACCAAAACCGAGATCGCTGCGGCGGAACGTCTACAATATTTATTCCGTTTGTCACTAGTTATCTATTTCTTCAGCGAACGATGCAGTATGTAATCGTGATTCCTCCTACACAAAGAAATTAGGGTTTAGGAATGGACCGATCCATCTAATTCGTAGATGGAACTAGGGAAGTGTTTAGATCACTCGGAGTTAGTTGTGTAAATCAATTAGGTCAATTTTCGGAGAGTCCCATTTGCAATTAGACAATAAAATTGACGCAAACACATATTTTCTCCTATTCATAATTCGGCTTCCGCATTAGTGGGAAATTTAGCCTTAGGAGGGTGAGGGAAACCAGCTATTGGGAGTGAAATGGGGAATTGGACATTGTTCATTCACGGGACGTGGCAATAAATGAGGACGGAGAAGGGGGAGAGCAGGAGCCCTACGCTTAACTGAGACACGCTTTCCACCAGCGGTGAGACGTGAGAGGAGCCGGCTAGTCAGCAGTCTTGACAGGCTGTTTGGCCGGATCTTTTTCAGGACTATTAGTTAAACATAGTGGCTAGATCGCAGTTGGTAGCCAGGAATGCGGAAACGGACGGCGACCTTAATCCTAATCTTAAAATTAATCCTAACCCTAGCTCTAATCGAAACCGTAAACGTAACCGTACTCCTTAGACATAAACGTAACTGAAAAATCTAACCGTAATACTGAAGCCCAGTCGTGCGCTCAAACCCTAACCGTAACCCGAAAACCTAAGTCTAAGGGCATAACCCAAACCTGAAAATCGGAAGCCATTAACCGGTACCCTAATCCTAACCTCAAACGTAAAACGGAAGCCAAATGGGTCAGAGGTGATTATGGAGCCCACAAAACAGCCTCAGTAAACAACCCCCTCCCCACCACCTGTAATACGGGTCCTGACTACCAACTGCGATATAGCCAACATAGTGGTCAAATTTGGCTGTGGTAATCGCATGGCCCTCTGCCGATAAGATCGTATCTTACAGAGGGCGATAGAACACCAGCAAAAGGGCTCCTCGCATTACAGGTGGACTTACGCTAAATTCCAGGGAGGTTTAGGTTTATTGTTAGGATTAGGATAAGGGTTAGAGGGCCATCCTTATTCCCGCGTCTAACCCCGAAAACGTCTGGTGATGAAGATTTGGAGTCTGGCTGAACTACTTCATTAGTTGACAGGTATAAAATGGGCTTCATGACTAACGGCACAGCCTCCCTGCGTTTGTTGTGGGTCATGAGTGGGCGACTTCCCCAAATCCTCTAAGCATAGAAAGTTCAATAATGCTGTTAAAGTACCCCTCTTTTTCGTTTTATATAAGCAACACTCTATTGAGATGGCGCTGGGGACATACCAGTAGGTAAACAAAGTTTGCCAATAGGGAATGTATGGTCAGTATTATTGATTCTCCGTAACATCTGCCCCCCTCGTTTTAGTCTACTTCAACATATTTGGGGGTAATAGGCACCACCTTCGAAGTGTTTAAAAATGAATGCTCAACGGTAGGCTCGAGCACACGACACCGTGTGCTCCACCGACTTAGCTAGCAGGGCAGTTATGCCGTTAACACATCGGGCACTTGAAGTGGCCTTGGGCTTTCAGAAAACGCACTTATCGAAGCAAACTATAAGAACCCGAGAACTCACACAGAGATTACACACCATGTCAACAATGCGACTGTCAACCGGCCGACTGCAAATTCAGTCGAATGACTGGCTCGAGAAAAGTGGGCCCACCCTGACAATCATGAACAGGGGAACGGAAAGTAGTTTGCGCAGCTGACTGACACACCTACAACAACACATGGCGTGTATTCAGGGATAGGTGATCTGTGTCAAACCCACAAGAAGGGCGTTTTCTCCACTCTACCTTGAAGGTGTAATAATCACGAAAATCAGAGCAGGGTGCTGGGTAATTAGAAAAATAACATGATGCGGAGAATCGATCAGCACTTCCGGTGATTTTGCCATTACGCACGTCTTTGTGTTGATCCGCTGCTCTTTATTCAAATACAAAAAATTACCAGTACGCTTTGGTTGTAGTCAGCGAATCCTAATTTCTACAGGCAATAGAGGCGTTCTGTGTTTCGAGGACATAATATGAGGAGAAATGAAGGAAACCTGAACCAATACCAGCGACCTAGGGGTGTGTGTGATCTGAAACTTTCTGAGTTTAGCCGAAATTGCCAGTTCAATCCACGAATCAATTAGTACTTTAGCTTCCGATGCATCATCCGTTTAGTAATTATTTTTTGACCAGAGAGATGAATCACTTTCTGCCATGTATTCGCCCTCATTTGCTTCTTCCTAAACTCTTGCCTGACAAGTATTGGTCATCCCTTCTCATCTGATATGGCTAGGAACACGAACAACATAATTCCACGTTATGAGCCTTTGAATCACCCTCCTCTCCTTCGAAGGCAAAAAAAGCCAGTATTTAAAGACTTCAATCATAAATGTTACCCAGGCTTAACCATTGGATTATGTTAAAACTGATAATACCGGCGTAACGTTGTCAGGAGCTCACTGATTTTCCGCCCAGCCTAGCGTTTACCTATGCAAGTATTTGAAAGAGCTAAGTGTCGTACTGAGTAAGTCTACTTCCTCAAATACGTCTTCTTATTTTTCAAGCGCGGTTTCACAATCGTTTCAGCACATATAGATGTGGCATTGTCGAATACTAAAAGGGGATGCATCTCACTTACACTAAAGCATGACCTACAAACAGACAAGTTGTGTCAGTCACATAGACCTCGCTGTTATGTTTGCCTGATTGCACGGAAGTAAGGAGAACTAGAGGACCGGCGACTGTGCAGATCCGATTTGGATGTCAGACTCTCGTTTGAACCTATCTGTGGGTAAGGCATCGTCAGTTATCCAATAGCTATGTAAACGTTCTGAGCTAGACTAGCAGCAATGAGGTCACCAGCTCCGTAATTAGTCACGCACGACGTGGTCTCTGCTTCATATGTACTCGCCAAACTTAAAGTGAGTCTCGAAACTCACATGCTTAGGACTGTAATAAAAGCCACATTAGGAAGGAATCATTGTAGACTGGCGCTGAGTAGGGCAGAGTTACCTTGCCAGCTGCCAAATTTCCGAGGCGCGTCGTGAAAAATTAAAGCGCGCCAGACTTATTATTGTGCGCAGTGCGCTGCCTTGCCGTGAGGAGGAATTCCTCTCCGTTTTCGGTCTCAATTTCTATTCACTCTCCTTTGCACTAATCAACTGTCCAAGTCTGATAGGCCTCGACCCAGTGGCTAACTTGGCTTGGAAGCCTCCATCTAAGGCGTTTCACACACATGTACAGCCGTAGTTAAGGCCTCTTGCGGGCAGAACGTGGCCTCCGTTTTGTTCGCTGCACCTAAAGCGCAGCCCGTCGTGGGATGCACTTGATTAAAACACCGGGACAGAAAGACACACACACACACAACAGTATGACCGTGAACTCCACAAAAGGATGAGAGCAAGAAGGGTGACTTTGACATGAATTTGTTTATTGGGGCAGTATAACTGCACAGCATCTACCGCACTCTCTCCACCCCCACCTGGGCCCGGTGTCATGAGCAAGTCAAGAAGATCAGATGCGGGAACGACCCAAGTGGCTGGCACGACGTACACCGGCACCTGAACGCGCCACCAAACCCCCTGGTTCACAACAGCACTTGACCAGGATTGTGAACAAAAATGGGAGCAGCAGAGAAATCAAACGGTGCGGTTTGAGCCTGCAACTAGGCCTGCCATCATACCCCAAATATTGGCATTCGTTATGGGTGTGAATTCTCGATAACGCCTGCCGGAATCCGATGTAGTCCACGTGTTGGCCCAGCGCATCTACCGCACGGCCTGTTCGGGGGCAAACACACACACACACACACGCACCGACAGTTTGACTGTCTTGCCCGACAATATCCACGGCGTGCTCCGCAGTAGAGTGAAAGCACGCATTGTGACCTGCTTGTCAATTAGGTTATCGTAAGAGTAGACTTGCGCTGCACCCACCACACTCTCTCCTCCACCTCCATCTGGGTCCAGTGTCAAGACACAGTCAAGAAGATCGGATGTGAGGGAGGGCACAGGTGACTGGCACGGGCGGATTCGGTCGTAGGCGCACCATCACATCGCCTGGTCCACAACAAACACATGATCAGGATTTTCATCAACAACAACACAACGACGGGTCTGAAGGAGGAAGAGGAGGACGAAAGGAGAGCCATGCTCATGACCTGTATACCCAGCCAGAGCGCAAGCGCATCTACCGGCAAGGAACCAGGTGCCATGGAACTCCCAGCACACACCATGCTGTGAGGACCATCCTTGACAAAGGCATATAAACAGAGTGATTTGATTGGTTTCGCAGATCAAACTAACCTCGTTTTCTGGACGCAAACAAACGATCATGTAGAAAATACGCGAGGTTAAACCGCTAAAATTGTTTAAATTGCGACAATTGTTCTCACAGGGGTCAACGTGTTCCGGCTTGTTGTTCGGCCGTAGATGATTTTTCGGGGTTTAACCAAACGAATGCGTAACTGCGGCTATCTCGACTTTATTTATTTAAGCTCTGACTTTGGCCTATGAAAGAATACCCAAAGTGGTAAATTTTATGGCTTGCGCAGCTTCCTAAGTGGACCAAGCCGAGATTCCGGTCCCTACTACCACATTATGATTTAACTTACTGTTTTTCGGCAGACCTTTTGCTGGCGTAAAATCGAGGTTAAACTGCTCGACAATAGAGTCTGACTCGAAATACTGAGACCAAAATTTCCGCTTAGAATACATTGGCAAGGTGACGCTTGAGCTAAACATAAACTAAACTGCAACAAAGATGAACGCGAGATCACTGAAATAGTACATGTAGTGGTCTGAACTTTCGGTCACGTAGACGAGGCCAGGTGGACACTAAAAACAAAAACCAACAAAGCCTTCTAGTGTACATGGTTGTATTTTCGATAAAGACGATCACTGTCATTGTCCTTAAGAAGCACGCCACTCTAACCTATAAGATCACACGGAATTATGCGTCTAAGCTCGTAAAACATATTAATACACTCCCATGTGATTATTGTAGGTCAGAGAAATTAGTTTATTACGGTTGTCCTACTTGAACGGCCAGTAAAAGAGGTCTGAAAGCAGACGCTTGGGGGCGGAACGTCGAACGCTGTCTTCTGGGTCTCATAAATTTCATAACAATCCAAAATCCTAGAAGAGACGGAGCAGAACATTTTGAATACACAAGTGTGGCAGCTCGGTGTAGTAGTTAGGACCGTAGCAAGCACACGAGATGGAGAGGACGAACGAATATGGCTGTAAGAGTCAGAACGAGAATACCCTATAACAGGGCTTTATTCATCTTACAATTGACGTACTGGGACTGAAAAGAGAAATAGAAAAGTAGTAGGTAAGGTGGAATTTAGCCCGGGGCTTATGTTAGCATGACACTGGGGTAGCGGGAGTACTCCAAGCGCCCGAATCATCACGCCAATACCGGTTGGCAGAGAAAGATGGAAGACAGCAGAATAAAATTATTTTGTACGGAACACCGGCTGCTTTCTCTGGCAGCAGTGGCCATCGAAGAGGTCAGACTGTGTGGTGACAAGATAGGCCAAGACTGAAAGGGTGAGAGCAAGGAATGTCCACTGATTTTGTAAGTTTATAACGGCAGGTCCAAGAGCCCGCGTCCAGATGGACTTTTGCACCACATGGGGAAAGAACGGTAGTGGTTGTCTGGACGGCCAAACCTGTGCGCGTATGAGCAGCACGTACGGGAACGTCCACAAGTCAGGTGGACAACCTTGTAGCCCCAGAACCCTGAACGAGATGGGGCAACGGTATAGAGAAGGATTCCACTTAACTGTCAGTAGACTGTGGATCGTGTCATATGGGGTTTTATCTTGGCATGCAGTTGCAGGCCGTTGCAGAAATTACGCTGCCGACAACGATTGCTTCCCACGACCTCACAACTTAACTTAAACTCCGTTATTTTATGCAATTCACCTTTCGTTTATTGTTTAATTACTACTCCCATTTCTATTGTCGTACAATAGCGAAGGATAAGACTTTCAGCATAAATCCAGGCAATTTATGTGTTTTCTTTCCTTTTGTCAGCTTACTGTCTAGCATGTTGCCCCACCCATAAAACGTCCTTTACCATAAATCTCGTATGGCATGATCCGCAGTCTACTGGCAGTTAAGTGGGGCCCTTATCTATACCGTTGCCAGCGATGGTGTAGAGGGAGGGATGAATCCTTTGTTCTCGGTGCCGGAATACTTAGCTACGTCTGGGTTCACTTTCACCTTCAGAATTGCAGAAAGTATTCGCTGAGCGGACGATGGCACCACGGAAAGGACACTAAAGGACCTTAAATCCAAGCGCAGCATTCAAAAGTCGCTGCGTGGCCCTTCCTACGGCCTATTAGGCCTTGTATTCCTACCTAAAACATGCAAGGTACGAAAGGGAGAGACAGCACCAACAACGCCAATGGAGCGGCTAGCGGGTGGGCGGAGGCAGTGCAGGCACAGACGAATATAACAGTTCAAACATGGCCTATCGCTCACACGCCTCTCTCGCCATCGTCAGGCGTCCACGATGGCACCCACCGCGCCCCGCCGCATTCGAACGACTCTAGACTAGTAATTCAGCCGCAGTACCTTAACTTCTCTGCTTTCGGCACTTCGGTTAAACGATATACCGATGCTGAAAGTTCTCGTTATAAGTCATTTTAACTCTCTAGTCTGTAAGAACCAGATTAACACACTTACTGGACTGGTGTACCGTGTACCATAAGAACGATGTCTCGTTTGGAGAGTCAGACAATACTTACTTTCATACTAGGATCATCTGATAAGTTTCAGCTGGCGTTTTTACCAAGAATTTCAGGTCCGCGCTGATCTACGTATAAAAAGCATATCATGTCAATTACCCTAAAACGCATGTGTTTTCAGTCCTGTGGGTAGTGCATTGCTCTCACCTCCTTAATCCGTCATCTATGAGAGCATATTATTTTGCATGAAAAAATGGACATTTTAGTAAATTCGACCACCTGCCTGAAAGTGACTCAGAGCTCAATTTTTTACATCAGCTTGTGATTGCAAAAAAAAAGGTTTAAAATAGGAACAATTGACCCGAACTCGGCAGACAGTAAGGAGTTGCCTTGCTGTGCGATCGGTGTCTCTTTGTCCACCGTCCCAACTGAGTCGACGTCAAGGCCGTGCCCAGCGTGGGCGTCAGATTTAAGCCCTCTTATGCGCACCTGAGTCCACCCTCTCCAACAGCGGTTGGTGCTAATACATGAACAGTTGTAGTTTTGCAGGTTGGTTTCTTCAACACAAGCGTTTTCTTCACAATAGACTTGCACCGGTTAGACAACGACGTAAGAAGAAGGCGAAGCGTCCTCTCCGAGTTTCAACAAGCTGCGACTTATAAATACGGGCAAACGGATGACCTCTGTCCAGGAGCACTGGATGGATTCGGGTAAGGCCTTTTCCTCTACTTCCCATCCTCAGAGATTTGCAAAACTTCCCCTCTGGCAACAATTCAAAAGTCAGCTTGGGCACTATCGACCAGCAAGGAATCGATCGCCTCAGAGATGAGCTAATTCCCGATATCTTCAAGGGAGAAGGAAACGTAAAACCTGCTTCCCTTCCTGGACATTGTCGTTTGCCGCTTACTCCGTGGTCAACTAGCCATAATAGCATGCAGGATATTGCCTTGGACACTGCAGAGAACGGATTACTATGAGAGCCCACAGCTGTAATAAGGGAAACTGTGTGTGTATGCTCTATCGGAGAATGCGATCTCACCACAGCACGTCTTCCAAGCAAAACATAAAACGCCTACAGGAGTCCCTTGGAGTTAGTTTCTAGACATGAGCCTTCGTTGAAGGGTGCTGATGGTCTCGAGAAAACAAGCATAACGAACCGAACCAACCTGGGCTGCGGGGTAGCATCCCGCTTTCAGAAGCTGCCACGGACATCGGGTGGCACATCCACACCACTCAGAGTAGGAACAACTCACAAGCCTGATTCATCATCATACAGTCAGGTAATGAACACAAGATGAAATTTCATTGCAGGAGCAAGCATTAATTGCTCATAGCAGTTGCGGAGGAGACAAGTGCGTTCGAGATGAAGGGCCAAAGCTATAGAAGTGGATTCACAAACACCAACTGACGCCGCAGACTGTGAACTTACAGCCAGAGACAACACGAGGCAAAGCACGAGGTAATATCAGCAGGATAAGACAAATGCTAGCGGCTAGGCTGCAAAAGATTGTCCAGTCTCGGCGTTCCATCGACCTGCTCTCGAGCCATGGGAGCCTGCATTACCCCCGCTCGAGGGCTGGACTCATGAAAAGTAAAGTGAGGAGTGCGGCGCACTGGTTCACCAATTACCTCTGACGAGAGTGAAATCGGCGGAGCGTCATCTAACATTGACCAGGGTCGCATGCTCCAGGTGGGTGCACAAAGTTCAAACCACAGCGACATGAGCAATAACAATTTACGCAGTAGGCGCGATGATGCATCAGATTCGAATATTTTAAAATGTAAGCATAGTCTCCAGTCTTCTATAAGGAATGGAGCATTTGTTCACATGAAACGCCACATCGAATGATGTCGAAAACCGCACCTTCTGCTTTTAAAACTCAGAAGCTATTTCTAAAAGCCCATAAAACATAACAAGGCGCCAGTTCGTATGCTTCGCGCAAATTCTACCTGAACTTCATTGCACGCCCACCGAATGAGTATGGATAATTAAAATGCTGTCGTAAAAGGCTTAGGTGCTCAGTTCAACCGTAACAAAAAAACCTCAGCATCTTCCCCTAAATAAACAAAGTTGTAGTCCTTAAGACATAAAGCCGACACATAAAACAGTAAGCACACGGCTGCCACCTGAAGACTAATTGATGGTGGCGGTGACATTACACTTGTGGGCTCAAGCTCGAATTTCAGGGCGGAATCGAACTGCCATACGGCAATGTAGCTTGACTGGTGAACGGCACTACCACGATCGTGGATTAACCTGTTGGACGAAGTTCCCGTGAGTAGCTGTTTGAATAATCGTGCCGGAATACCTGTTCCGTAAAAACACATTCAGTCGTGCAAGCGATGTTGTCGCCAGTGTCAAAGCACGAATGCCGTACCGCGAAGAAAATGATTGGCTGTCGAACAATCTAGAGAACTGAGTTGTGTTGAATAGTCGCATCCATATTATCCGCGAAAGCTTACGTTTTGCGGAGAAATCATGGCAAATCCTTCGTGAAAATGGTCAGAAATGGGCCTCGCAACCGCAACTAATTGGTACGACAAGTCCCCGGGCGAAGAGATCCCCCTCTCGCCCTAATAGCGTGACATTCCTGCCAGGAAGAAATAAACCCTATTTCCACATTAAGTTTTGCCGCCATTAACAGCCTATCCCAGAGTATCTAGTCCTTTCTGCTACTTGTGTGACCAAAGAAAGGCAGGATAACGGCAGGCTGACAGGGGTCAGTCCGGGTCATTCTCTGTCAAAAATAAAAATGATTATTGCTTAACAGGTCCCGAATTAAAGCGCTGCAAGTTTCGCCCAAAGAACCGTTTTCGTAGTCAAAACTACAGGCAAAATACGGCAATGCAGTTATGAGCAAAAATACTTGTTAATGTGATAGCATCAAGGACACACGGCCCGTTGAAGCAGAGAATTCATTTCACCAAATTTGTAATAGTAAGCGCTCACGCGCAGAAAAGCCATTTCATTCGGGTAGGTCAGTGATAACCATCCTAACAAGGAAAACACAAAACCAGGCAAACAATCCAATCACTGTATTATTACAAGTAGAGAATATATGCCAACGTCCAGATTTCAGGTGACTGAGATGTGTCTGCAAAAGCTAATGTAAGAGGTCTGATCCCATAAAAGGTAATTGCACAGCGGAAATACTTTTTTTGCAACATACAGGTCTGTTTAGTGGTTCACTTTGGACGGCAGTTGGCGAAAATGTCTCACTTTGCTTGTATTCTCTGTGTAAGATGGGCCAACTTATACGCATGTATTTAGACGCGTTTAGACTCAAGAACACCTCAGTTTAAGCCCGCGTTTCAAAGTTTCGTTACCCATTTAAAGGTTGTGATTAGTTTTGGTCAAAAATAGGACTTAGCGGCAGTACTGGCATGATATTTACTTGCTAACAGGGCTACAAATGAAACTAGACAGGTCACGTGGAAGTGACCTTCACCAACTTCGAGTTGATCGCAGGACGAAAAACAGCTGCTGGATTTTGATTTGGAGTTTCACTTCAGACCGCTGCATAGCCATGTGACGGCATACATACATTACCAATTGCAGCTGACCGTATGCTGCAGCACAACCAGCCAAAAATGACTATTCCTTCTTCCCTACTTTCACAAATAATTCCCTCATATGATGATTATAAATGCATCTTCCCTTATTGTTTTTATACAGGCGTTTCAAATTAATTACAAAATGAGGGCTTGAGAGCGGGACCGAATTATCAGAACATACAGCAAGCATTTGTCCGAAGTTGTCATGTTCAGTCCACATCTCGATGCCAGGTGGAATACGAACAAACCTGTTGCGAATTTATTTGACATTAAAGAAGGGGACCTCGCGCAGAGCGAAAGATGCCGTCCGTCGTTTGCGGACTCCGGTGTAGATGTGAACGAGGCAACTACATTATAGAGATTAGCAGATATGTGCAGACACGGATGCATGAGATCAAACCCGTCGTTACAGGCGTTCATCCAAATTGTGACCCGCCATGACAACAATCGTGACAGCTGGGAGCCCAAGCAACCGCTACAGAGACCCGACTGCTGCCCACGTTCGTTTGTGACACAATTTGATGACAGATCCAAGGCCTATAGACGCCGTTAAACCTGTGTGTAACGCTCTGGGTCATCAATAAGCATCACGGAATACCAGAATAAAGTAGAGGTCGAGTACGGCTGGGGCCTTTAAAAGAGGATTATAAATTGAACTGAAAGTTCTGCTGATGCATAGGCGTAGTCCTCGCATGAGTAAATCAGACTACATATGTGCTTCACGTGAAATCTTGCACTTTTGCGGCACTTTGATGCTCACTGGAAAACTGATAGGGCCCAGGTCAAGAAAACTTAAGGCTCTTAAAAATGACCTTGGAACATTTCGATAATAAGTACAACCTAATGACAATCCAAATGGCATTCAGGTCGCAATTTTAGCGGCCCAGTCGTTGTTACTAAGTAGTTAATTCGATTACAGAATGCTGCGTCCTAAAATTATTTTGATTAACTGCGCCAATACATAGCACGTTTATGCAAACCCTCTAACTTTCAGAATCACCTTCAGCTACACTTGGCACTGAAAATTCGTAGATCAACTCCCAATCCACACCTAGGCGTGAGTTTCAGCCACGTGCGACGGTTTGTCCTATTTTACCTCGCCTAAAGCTTCATTACGACCGGCAAATGGCATTTAAACATAAAACTGTTAAATCGCTGAATCCTACGCTGTATGCTTCAGCGACGAATGGTTCACAGTTCAAAAACCGCGTTACCGGAAACTCACATTTTCATTAAATAAGCACAAAAAATGAAGGTCATTTGTTTCCGGTAGATGGGACCTACTTCCTCTACTTATACCCTTGCATGAATTACACCGACATTTCTTTTAAGCCTATGACCAACTAATGAAAAGGAACATTTCAAAGCCTCTATGTTGTTAGTATAATTTGACAGATTAAATCACTGCTGCTGGTGTGCAGAGTAAATTTTCTCGAATCCTGTTTGACGCAATATTTTTTTTGGCTGCCTGTGTGTCCTATTCGTATGCCTGGCTACCTTACAACCATGGACATACGCTATGCAGTACCATCTGACTCCCAAATCCAAATTCATTTTACACTCATCTCGATGCCCGATATTTGCGTTTTCACTGATTAACTTAAAATATTTTCTCCGGCACTGAGCTCTCTGTTCTGTGAGGAGTTCTAAATGTCTACTGATAAGGGAGGTAAAACTTACTAATCAGACTGGGGGAATGGCATATATGGATAAATGAGACTTCTCGCTAACACATTCCCTTCAGTATTAACTGAGGTTCTCACGTCAGTCTCAAAAATTTTAAACTTTCTGGTGGTAAATGAAATATCAAGATTCCAGGTACGTCTTCGAACACCACCTTTTAATTATCTGTTTTTTTATAAAACCGCTTTTGATTGAACTGCTGCAGCTGCTGATCCCTGTTTGAAGTCATTAGGACGTGAAAAAGGGCTGCACTATGAATTCTGCTTGCGGGAGTTTGACCATCTCGTTAAGTCGAAAATTTCCTCTTCGGCAATGAGGCATTTCAGGCTTCTTCCATTAATGCCTGCATACAGGGGTTTCTCAAGCACGGTGTGTGTCGGTAAATTATGCGAGTATCACTCATGTGGCCCTAATACTAATTCTAGCCTAAAACTCAAGCGTAACCTTAACCTAATCGCCTTGGAGGTCAGCCCAAAGCCACCAGCAACACGGGAGTTCCTATTCCCGTGCCCTGTTGGGTGACGGCACATAAATTATCTTTACCGTAAATTCCATTGATGGCATGACCAAAATCTAACCACCCTGTCCGCTTCCCGAAATTCATGCTAACGTGATCACTGCTTTCTCTCGTTGTGTGATCCTTTGCATTTGGCTATGGACCTTAGAAAGGATACTTTAGACATATGTTGGCCATCTTCATCTACTTGAAATATAATGGTTCAGCCGACGTTAAATAATGTACCTCACAAATGATACATTTTTAAGGCATGCTTACAATACTAATTTTACTGGTGATAACTTGCGTCATAACGCTGCATAAAATGTAGCAATTCACTGCGGTAACACAATGGGGGTTTACTTTTGTTGGTGTGGCACAATATTTAGTCATAAGGATGTATAGTTATGCCGACCAGATTCAATACTTGGGCGGTTCAGAGCTTAGTAAAGGTGCGCGTGTTAATAAGCGATGGGATTATTGGTTGTTGGTTCTGCTACGGGCAGAACCCAACAATGCCGTTGAAATGGTGCTGAGGTTATCGCATTCACGAGATACAATGCGATCTGGAAATGTATGCCAGAGGTCGAACAATTATGGTCCAATTTAACCTTAGTGACAAACGCGTATATCAAATATGACGTGCTCAAGCAACGCTTCATTCTCCGTTCCTATAAAGACCAAAGTTTCAGATACATTACCATTAGCGTCAAGTGTTCCTAATTCAGTTTCGACACTTGCAGTTGATTAGTATTTGCCAATGCTCGTATTTCATCCATTACCGAGCCCGTTGGACCCTCCGCTCCTCGGCGAGTCACAGTTCGCGAAGTTTCCCTTGACAGAACTTCTGTTGATACTCTCTCCGTTTTTGCTTTTGCGAATACGATATCCGATATCGGGTTTGGATTACAGCTATGCTCAGTAAGCTCTAGATTCGTGTTTATTTATGCCTCCATGTAGCAGAATCTCTCAAGTTAACTGGGGGATTAGCGGCCTAAGCAACTTGGATTCGCCCTTCATGGATTCTGAACTAGAGGACAAGGGAGTTTACTTCAGAGGCTGCGTTTACCTTTCGTGTTCAGTCCTTGTGCCTTCAGGCACTGCCTTGTGCTTATTTACACCTCGATGTTTGTTTTACCTCCTATTTCATTCGTCGAAGTCTCCTCCAGAAAGACGTTTACTAGCGTGCCCTTGCTGACTGGATCGTTTCGTGGCTTCCAGACAGATTTTGTTTTCAAACATATTTTGTTCCACACAAACGTTCGAGTCCGTAATTCCTCTCGAAGTGCAAGGGCTCGACTGAAGGACACATTTTTCACAGCTCTGTTTCTTCTTTGCACCAAGGACCCTCTACTTACTGATCGTGTTGTCCTTAAGAATACTATCATAGAAAATCTGAACTTCCAGGCTCTCGGGGGCATGCACAAAATGTCTCATAGTTCTCATTAAATCGTAATCTTTTGCTAAGAGATGAAACCTTTTCCCAGGTTGTTTGTCAGCATTGGCCTTCCTCGAATGGTGTACAGTTATAAAAGTTCCTAGTCTATTCTTCTGTCGTCCTCCAAAAACTGATACCATTAGAAAAGATGTGCTTAAGCTAATGAACTAAGTCAGACGGTTATATGCCTTTTCTGTCGTCTACTGGTGCATGTTGCCCCTTCCATTTTCTTTCATGCTACACAGATTTCGTATTCATTTCGCGGTTTAGTAAAAAAGATCCACGTACAGTCAGAACCATTCTTTGTGATCTGTCCTTTTCCACGGATTTGTTTCTTTGCCTTCCGGTCTGCCGCGTCGAAAGTCTACCCACTAAAATTTACATGAGCCCTTTGCGTACGTTTACCATTTGCCTGACCACAAAATCTCAGGGCTTAGCTATTGACTACAGTATGTATACATAAAAGTGGCAATAAGACACTTTTCGTGTTTATCTTAACTATGAATTGTTTTTCGGTCTTTTGACGACATCGAGGTGCTTTGATGGCTTTTCCGCACAAGACTTTTAGCCGATGGGGCCTACTGTGCTTTCTGTATTTCTAACTTTCGGGGACAGTGAATAGTGCAACTGACATCCACTTAGATGTCACCATCTAACCTCCGGGAACCGACAAACAAAAGACCTGATAAGCACAGTAATACAAGGATGGATGCTTTTTTCCAAATGGTTATGACATCGTTACAAGCCTAATTCAAGACTAGGCTTCATGAAATCTGTTGTTTTGTATTTCCCAAAAGACTCTGATTCAAGCGCAGCGTAGATCACGTTCATAGGGTTATCCATAAGGGGCAAAATTCAGATTGCGTTTGGAAATGGAAAAGATGCATGCCGTGTTTTAGTTTCCAGTACTTTCTTAATTCCTGAAAATTATGGCAAAACCCATAAATTGCTGGTTTGGATTATTTAGTGAAAATCCAGCATGTTCTAGCCCGAAGTTTCTCGCCTGCCAGTCGTAAACATCGGAGAGAACGCCTAATTGCTAAGTTAGTACAAGGGGGATACAAGAATTTGATTGCTATTCGACAGCATGAATCGTTGGCTCCAGCTCGGCTACGGACTGGAACGGGTTCCAAATAGACAAAATTCACACACCGAAGGGGATACTGTGTTGGCGGAGGTAATTTATGTAGCCAAAAAGCTCCCGACTAGACAAGGGAAAATCTCGGCCTTAGCCAGCATGTGTAGAAACAATTGATAGGACTTTTATAGAATATGAATTCAAGTCTCTCACAATCGCCAGCTAGAGCCTAATCAGTTTTTAGCTTCGTTGTCCAATATGATTGTTTATGTGCCGCGATCCCAACAGTTTCTTCGAGAGCCCGTTCGCAGAAAATCCTTCAACTTAGGTGATATATCTCATAGTGGTCTTAAGATACGATAACACTTGTATTTGCATAAGGTGAACACAGTATTGCACTGTATACAGTAAACATCACCGAAGAGCTTGTACCTATTGCAAACACTAATCTTTCTCAGTTGGCTTCTAAAACACAAGGCAATGTTGCCGACAAAGAAGTCGAAGTAGCCATTTTTGGCTTATTTAATGGCATCAACCAGTCATACACCAACCGAAGGCTCATGGTGCCTGTGCTCCTAACAACTACTAGGCGGTCATCGGACACTCAAGCTAAACGTCCAACCAGTTGGACAACAAATGTACGCCTTGTAATGTGTCGATGTGTGGATACGAATCACATGAGAACGCCTTCGTCCGAGGAACTTCAGCTGCGGAATACAATATGAGTGGTGTCGTGTTGCCTTGGAGCTCATGTCAATAACCTCCTCATGGGAACAAATAACGACTAGAAATCAGCAGGTGGAAATTGAGATCCACAGGGATGGGGACGGACGAAATAGCCATTTGTGACTTATTTGTCAAAATCAACCAACTATGTTGCAACCCCGAACCGAAATAACAATGGATTAGTGTTCGTTTCACCCGTTACCAGGGTATATCATATTACAGTGGGTAGGCAAACTGAACCAACCGAAATTCCGAAATGCGTTTCCGCTTCGAAAAGATTAATTATGTGGGGTTGTAAAACTAATCATCGCGCAGTTTAATTCTATAAAAATTCAATGACCTCAGGATGTCGGCTTTTGAAGAAACTTCTTTCTGGATGCATGCAAGTACTATACAGTGTAAAAAGTGACCACTTAGACAGCATGCATTTTTTTCATTGATTTCAGATGCCCTTAAAATTCAGTTATGTTCCATGGCTTAAAATATTCATTTCAGCTCATTCTGTAGAAAATGACGTTTTCTTCCAATTTTATGCTCAAAGGAGGGGTATAATTTGGTTTTCAAATCTTCTCCAATTCCCGAATAATTTTGAACCCCGACACGCCGTTACACATGCATTCGGGGTTTATAATCTACAAGCCGCGTAGTTTTGGCGTACGGAAAACCATATATTTCTCTACGGTATTAGGGGGAGATCATATGCTTTTCATAAAATTTAGCAATGGATTGGAGCCATATTGCTAGTTTTACAAGCCACATTGTTAAAGGCAGAGACATGACATTTTATGAAGGACCATTTCACGGTATTAAAAATTCCCACAATTAGAAACTTTTTTTAAAACCGAATTATACCCTTCCTCCGAGCATAAAATTGGAAGCAAACATCATTTTCTACCAACCAAGCAAAAATGAATAGTTTTGTGCATGTTTTCCACGAAGTATAATTGAATTTTTAAGGGCATCGGAAATCAACGAGAAAAATGTATGCTACATAAGTGATCACTTTTTACAGAGTGTGGCTTTTGCATGCAACCGGAAAGAAGTTTCTTCGAAAGCCGGCATTCTGCGATGACTGAACTATTATAAAATTCTGCTGCACGATGATTAGTTTTACAACGCTACTTACTTAATCTTTTCGAAACGAAAGTGCATTTCGGAATTTCGGTTGACATTTCATAAGTTAAACCACCTATTGTACATATAAATTCAGCAAGCCTGTCGATTATTCATCGGAAATTACCATTACATCAAATTCGCGTCAGAATTTGATGGCATTAACCAACAGGGAGTTTGGGAGACCGCATTATACGTTTCAGCACGGTTGCAAGATCAAAGACGTGTTTAAGCATTTTGCTGCATTTTCATGCAGACGTCGGGAAAGTTGTGAAAATGTGCGTTCAATATTATTGGCATCAAAACTGATTGCACTGCTCAAAATGGATGCTTTTCATTGCAGGGAATCCGGAAAAATTGAAGGGTGTTTTCGGAATAAGCACAATTAACTGACGAAAAGGCGCATTTTAGCTAAAATAATCAGTAAAATTGCTGGTCTGTTAGGGTCCAGACTTAATCTGTTAGAGCGGTTCATCTCTCATTCACACGAATTATACATTTAGAGTTTCTATGCCTAGTGGACAGTCAATTTTATTAACATGTACAAAGGTGAGCGTACGCTCCCAGTCTTCATGTGTTTGGCTAAAAGACCACAATTAGATGTTTAACAGCACGGCTGGCCTACTCTGCTGTACGTTCTAACTGGATGCAGTGCAGAACCGGGGATAGGAGACAAGGGGAGGAAAGGTTTAAGCAAATAGCCCGAAGTCAGCTACCTTGGACCCACGGTACATGTTTGAGCTAAGTGCTTTAAGGGATAACCGCAGCAGTTGCGTCATTGATATTCAGTCTAAAAGGGATGGAGAGGAGAACTGTCATTCTGGTCCCCAGAGAATAAAGACAGATGCTTGGCTGATGCTAAGACAATTATCGTTAAGGGTGCCACTTCATTTTGGGTCGTCAAGTATGATGTGTCAATAAAAAAATCGCCTACATTTTTTTGTGTTTTATTTTATAACTGAAGGAAATTTGCCACTGAAATTCCACAGAACGCGTTTTTTGGGGGAAAGTATTAACGCTGCGGAAATCAATTCTATGCCACCTACGGTCACAAAATCGGGATGGGCGTTGGAATGAAAAGATATACAGATTTTCATAGTAAATAATTATCCGACGCCATATACGCCCAATAAGTGGTTTATAATGAAAGGTAGCGCTTTGAAATACAGTGCTGGCGTTAAGACGTGCAATCCTCTTTTGACAGTTTTTTGGTTTTAGCTCGTATAGTTGATATCAATATACCGGATATTCCTAACGTGAATAGCCCTTATGCGGCGATTCATCCAATAACTCGCCCGCTAGCTAGCAATAAAAAGTACAAATTTCTCTGTTATTCAGTCATTATCAGCTTGCGCCATTAAGAAGGAACCTTAACACTGACACTGATCTTGTTGAGGCGGATAAGCGTGAGTCGTCCGAAGGGATCTCATTAGTATGTTATTTTAAAGAAAGATATGAAAGTATGTACAAGGAAACCTAACCCCGGAGGAGCAGTAATTACTTCCCGACAGCAAGTCACTAATTAACTGAATTGCTGCTTTTAAAATTCACGCTTCAGTTGTTTTTAATAAGAGGCCAATTATGGGATTTTAAACACCAGCTTAAAAAACGTATTGGGGAATACACCCAACTGATCATGTGGCAACGTTAATCAGGACAGATTCCCAATCTATTCAGCTATTGTAAACAAAGATGCAGTTTAAGTTTCAACGTCCAACATACTGGGATAACGAAAGGCTTTTTGTCACTTTAATGAAGGGCGTTTCCGGCCATGCTAAATGTGTCGAGAAACAACTGGTTCAAAAAGGCAGATAAAATAATGGAGAGGAAGAAATTCAAATCGAATATTACTTACTAATACTACCATCGTTGCTGATGACAATCGTGAGGCTTTTGCAACTGTCCTCTTCAAACACTCCGCAAATTATAGGAATTATTTCGAAAACGAAATATACTACTTAATTCATTAATGAGGTTTTGACTGTCATCAAGTATGATAATTCCCTTATGTTACAAGTAAAAAGACTCTATAAATGGTCCAATTCGTTTTCCAACTGTTCTCATCAGTTCTTTAAATCTATTCTGAACTATCCGGAAAACATTTGTCATCAGTCTACATCAACGGTAATTCACGTACTAATTGGATCTTTATTTCCTCTTTCGACAAATTTACAACACTTAGCCACCGTCGAAAACCGAACTTGCATATCGCTGTATATCACTCAGCTTACAATGCAAAAGCATGGTTTTAATGACATGTCAACAGAAAGTCAGAATCCACTGTTATGTGGTTTAGATGTGTTGCGGCATCACGTTTTCTCACCTCCGCGGTTTAAAGTGATCCTCTCTCTTTCCTTATACTCAAACTGGCAGAGTAAACATTAAACATACAAACAGTGACATAAAACATATCAAGAATCAAAAATTTTTGCTGGGCAAATGAAGAAAAAGTAAAGGAATTTGGCGACTAAAATTTCATGCATGTAAAAATAAATAATACACGAATCCGTGCTCCATAGGTTCGACAGTAGAGTTAAGTTGTCTCGGTCAGGTTTTATTTTCAGCTTCTGTAATAAAATCTTCCCATGAAAATAATCGTTTCTACAGTTACCTATAACTAGCATTAGCAGTATCGCCTTTGATGCGAGTAACCAACCAGGGCTTGAACAGGACGGATGTGTCATACTGCGCGGAATATCGGAGAAACACGTATTTACGCCTTTAGTTTAGCAGATCATGCGACAGGTATACACTACTGGTTGTCTGTTGGCTGTTTAGGCATACTGCGCGGTCTTGCCGCTAAAGCTGCTGAACAAGGAGGCCGAAATCCAAAAAATGGAGTATTTACCGGAGACCACATGGAAAACGTCGAGGGACCCACTTATGGGTGCAATCCCTTGCCGCTGTGTCATACTGTCACAAACGTTCGATGAAATACTTGTCTGGACTTTTGACTAGAACCCGTGCAGTCATTATGGGAAATTATGCACAAAATAAACTTATTTGCTCTTAAGGCAGTGTGTGCCTAAAGAAACGACAGTGAGGTTTTGCAGACGAGACAGTCCATGAATGGAGTTATGTGATGTAGTCCTGATCCTGCCGAGTCGACAATGTTATAATTTTAGCTACTCACGGAAAAGGGGAAACTCAATAAATCAGAGACATGCTTAGAATCACACATTATTGTTTCAGCTAAATTAAACATTATGTGTGCCCTCAAATAAGGTAAAAATTTTATCTTTTGTGAGCAGCACAAATAACTGGCTCGTTGAGGTTACTAAAAGAGACAGCATAATGTAAAGGTCTATGGAGGCTTGTGTTCGTTAATGACTACTCCGTTTCCCTTCAACCTCCGACCTTTTTTGTCTATACCATATCCCGCATTCATCCATATTTTTGTCCAAAATGTAGGGCCGTTTACGTTTCAACTGGTTATGGCAATTTTACTATTCTTGATTCCCACCACGTGCTCTCCAACCTGTATTCTATTTCTATGCATATCCTATTCATGTGCGCCTCCCGGTATCACCATTTCGGAATTTGGCAGGCGTTATCCAATTTGCGCACCATAACAAATGCCAAAATTTCGGGGTGCATTGGCTAACCCGGCTGCCGGCAAGCGTCGCGCACACTGAGACCCCTGCCCAGCCCATTATTGTTTTGTCAAAAACCTAGTTATTTGCTAGGTAGACCAGGGGATGTAGTGTGGGACGCTAGGGTGCGGGCTCGAGCAAGCCATCCACATGCGCTCTCTCCCGCCTCCGGTCTTCTTGGTTGTCTGGACACCGGGTCCATGTGGGAAGGAGGAGGAGGAGAGATAGCGCCAGATGCTGTGAAATTCTACTATCACTATAAATTAATTCACACACATCACCGTCTTTGGGGGGAAGGTAACTATGTGCTCCACATGAGCTGAAAAACTTCTTAAGATTCTGCTCAAAGCCCGAGTCACTATAGGAATTTATATAACACTAACATCAATTAACTGTACAGCTCTCTTATAATTCAAGGTTTTTAAACAGAGAATAAGTAGCGGCCTCAAACGAAAAGAATATCGAAATTGCTTTACTGTTAAATTCTTCAATAATTATTAATTTAAGTCTAAAAATAGTGCAACCTTGACTATGGCACTGTATGCTTTTCCTGACTGTTTAAAATTAACCTTGAACAAAAGCTTAAAATTCCCTCGCAGTTACCCTCTATTCCAGCAACTACGTGTTGATATCAAAACATGTGAAGGAGTTTTATTTCAGCATGTTCACATTCCAAGTAAACTCCTCGATCGATATCCCAACTGAGTGAAAAGGATTTTATTTTAAATAGGTTAACAGACGGAATTACTCACGCATGCTGCGGTCGAAACTCGAGAGTCAGATATCGTGTTCCAGAATCGTCGACATTTAGTTCCGAAGCGTCTTGATCCCACTTCTTGTCGGAGCTAACATTTAAGTGTGACATGGCTCGCCTTTCAGGGCGACACCGCGTATGCAAACCACGCGGGTTTCCAGTGATTTTGACCTAACTTCGATTAAACAAAATGGGCTCGGGGTGTATTGTAAAACGACTAATTAGAGACTGCATAACCACAACACTACCTACTAATTAACGATAAGAAAAGTGGCCTCACTCCAATTGTCTCCTGCCTAGCTCTTAGGTCATGAACAGACTCAACAATTTTGCTTGGCATGTTTTCAAACTATGCAAACTGTAGAATCTATTCTGAAATTCAGAGACTGTAGAATAAGGTGACAGTTTTGTATCATGTCCGAATAAACGCAACCACGAAGATGAGAACTATAAGGTTCAGCAGAATTCTTAAACGGGAGGTTAAGGAGAAGTGTTCCAGTGGAATATTTGATTTCGGAATCGGCTGCAGAACAGGGGCCGAATCACGCTGAATTTAGTAAAAAAGGAAAGAAAGCAAAGGCTAAAAAGGGAGATAAAAAGATAAAGAAAAATGAAAGCCAGAGATAATGGCGACTCTTAGTAAAGCTGGACAAAATGTCAAGATCAAGGGGCACAGCTCGATTTTAAAGATAAGTGAAGATTTGCATCTACTTTGATATCCCTAGGCAACTAATGCCTATCTTTCGTTTGACTCCCTTTTTTAAAGTCGCTTTTTACTGTGATGTATAAATTCTCCCAGTCAAACTAGACATTTTGGTAAAGTAACCGTATTTTGCGAAACGCCTTCTCATTGACTCGGTGTCAGACCGTCTCTTTTTAGTTTTGCAGTGAACTAACAGTAGTATTTGCTGTTTTGTGCGGTATGTTGTACTGGAGTAACGTTTCGATGCTCGTACTTCAACGAAAAACCTACTCAGTACACTGTAATTCCTCGAAGAACAAGTGCTAAAAGACGAAATCTTGAAGCCTCCTCGTCGTCTGTGAGTGCTAGAATCGTGGCCGGAGACGCAGCGGGGGCCAGCAGGTGCTCCTTACCCTCTTTGGATATGGCTAATTAAAAATGACGTTAGTCCGCGTAGAACCTATTGACCACTTAATCGTCCAAAACTACGCCTATGATTATCGTGACAGAATATCAGCCGACGAAAAACTCGATCAGTTGATATATGGCGATATAAGCAGCACTTCTGAAAACTCATTTAACAGGCGTTTAAAGTTATTTCAGTGATAAGTTCTGAAACCAAAATAACAATAAAACGCAGGCATAATTTTTTACTGTGAAACATTCCGAGTCACTTAACTGCTATAGAGGGAGCGCATTTGTTTCTGCAAAGTTATGGCCTTGGTTTCTCTTACGCACAATCTAAACGGCAGCGCTCGATCAGCCGTAATGCGCCGATACTAGTTACACTTTTCTCGTTGATAGAAGTCGAAGTTGAGGAGAGAAATAACTAGAGAATTCTGCTGTAAGTGGCGCTGCGCCGATTCGTCGGATCTCACACTAATGCAGCAAAGAATGAACCAATTGAAATTGTCAAAAACTAACACAGAGATGATGAAACCTATTGCCAGTTTGAATTAGTTATCTTCTTTATCACCTGCTGATTCTCCAGGTACTGGCACAGTCAGTTCCGTAGGGAATTCGACGACTCTTCAAATTCGCTTTTCGCGACTATTTTTAAGGCTCGAAATTGTGATGGCAAATCTAGCTTGAGAATGCCTGTGGCCGAATTGGAGCCTTACGGCTGATAGGCGTTTATCCAAATCCTGAATTCACGAGCCTAACAACTTAAAAACAGT